TAATAAGATAAATATAAGTAAAACATAATAATTCTTATATAAATAGGTTAATTAATTATTAATATTGAGAATTATATTTTATATAAATTTAAATATTTTGTTAATTATAATAAATAAATTGTATGATTATTTCAAAATTTTTACATTTTACATAATTATTGAATTTACAAATAAAATAAATTTACTTGAAAATAATTAATATATAATCACAATTTTTAATGTATTATCGCTATCACAATTAATTTTGTGAATTATGATAATGAGTAATTTTATCAATAATTATAATCTCTATCAAATTACTTAGCTTTTTAGCATTGATAGCTCAATAATTTATTTTTAAAAAACTTAAATCCAATGCACAAATATATTAATTAATCGATATATTTAATCAATATATACATTTTGTTTACTACATTATAATCTATACTATATAATATATATTCAGTAGTATTTATGCTTTATTTATTATTATATAGTTGTATTGTACAAAATTTGTATCGCTTGACATATAAAATAGTATTGCGACAATTTTTTTATTATTATTTTTACTATTCGGTGTCTTTAAATTAAATTATTTTATTTTTAATATAGCAGTTTTTATTAATAATTATAAACTTAATTATATATATAATGTTTATATTGAATATACAATATACGATTAATTTGTAAATACTTAATTTTGAAATTTAGTTTTTTCTTTTTACAAATACAGCAATATTAACTTTAGTATCACTTATATAGAAAATAAGTTAATACAACTATATTGATAAACCTATACAGTATGATATGTTTGACTGATATGTTATATAATAAACTATTTTAACACTTATATATATGATAGTAGTGACCAATTATTTAATTTACTCATCAATGCATTTATTTGTATGCTTGCATAAAGTTAATGTTAAAACTTTATTACGTTTAAATTTAAATCATTTACTATAGTGTAATAGTTACTAATTAATAAAAAATGTGCATTAAATAAACTTTGTTATCATTGCTGTTAAAAATATCATTTTATATTGAGTTAACAAAAAACGTAAAACATTTAATTTATTTGTATAAACTTTATAAACTAAAATAAACGAAAATAAACTGTATAAAATTCATTAAATACAAACAACTGATAAAATTTTCTAATATTTATAAGTAATGTATAAATAAAAATCAATACATTTATACAGTTTAAATGACCAATAAATATAATACAAATATATTGTGTCTTATATTATTTAGTAATTAATGTAATATATAAAAAATAAGATTAATTATAATAATTAACTATTTTAAAAATTTCATTTTCTAGAAACAAATTTTAGCTAATGTTTATTATAAAAATTGTTATATTCAAATAATTTACTAAATTTTGCATTTAAGTTATTCAATACTAAAAATATTTTACCTTATTTTATATTTGTAGACTAATAAAATATTGATGTTTTTATGTGCATGTAATTTAATTAAAATGATATTAAATTAAATTGCCATTGGAATTTAATAATTTTTCAATACAATAATAAAAATTATATATATTTTTTTGAAAATAAAAATATCTTATTATATTTAATATAAGCATAATAAACATTTTTCAAGTTAATTTTAGTAATACATGTTTTAAATATTTTTACTAAACATTTTAATATTTAAAATAATAAATTTTTTSATATTTTATTGATTAAACATTAATTAGTTTTATAATTCAAGTATTTATTGAATCAAATAATGTTTTGTAGTCAACACTCGTCTATGATATGACAAAACTTTTTTGCTGACTAAATATCAAACCAAATGCATAACTAAATCAATGATAGTTTGGCTGCAAATAAACAAAATTAAGTTATCATTGGTTTTACTCCGGATTCATAGCAAACGGTATTTTCTCATTGTTTACTTCAATTGAATTGAATTTACTCCGAAAATATTGATTTCTAAGACATACAGAATTGTTGTCAAATAGTAAATCCAATATTAATGTAAAAACAAATCATTAACTTAGASAGCATTGAAACGCAATTGAAGACAATGTGAAAAATTATTGAATATCACAATCATTGGGATTATAGTTAACACACTATTATCGTGATTGAGACGATTGTATTAATAATAATAAAAACTATATAACGTTAAAAACTAGTCGACCAAAAGTACTAAACTATTTTTATCATTTGTTATGAGATTAATGCTAAACTAAGTTATGTTTAATGCATACAAATAAATGAATATTTATGTTAGTTTTTAATAGATGAGTATTTTAATAAAGTTCATTGAAAATACATTATCTACTAATCACTGTATAACTTAGCGGTCGATTTATATTTACAAATCATTTTATGAAAATTTATTTATTTTATTTTGTTAAATAAATACACATAAATAATTCACTTGATTATGTCAACTATTTTATTAAATCAACATTAATGCTATTTTATTTTTAAAAAATATATTATTTAATATTTATTTTATAATATAATGTTATTTTAATTGACATTTTTTGTGAAATATCATAATTATAATAATAAGCAAAAAACAAAATCAATGTATTAAAGTATAACCCGAAGCAAGTCATCAAATATATGAAATGTAATGGAAATGAAACTACAGTACAAAATGGTAGTGAAAATGTTGTTTCGCTTTTATACTGTCTTTGAAAATACATATAAAGAAAATTGTTGTCAAACCTATTGAATAATCAGGATTTAGTTGAATATTTTATGACATAGTTTACAATCTCTATTACTTTGTTTTGCTATTTTGGTTAAAATAATACAAACAGATATATAAAATTAGTTTATTTGTAGGAATTGAGTTTTTAAAGCCAAACACTATTGAATTTATTATACAAATTTATTGTTTAAAATTTATTATTCATTTTTATTCAAGCGATACATTGATGTGAATTTAAACTAAACTATTTTTTTATAATATCTATACACATATCACTTGAGTTATTCAACAAAATTTAAACAGTTGCTAAACAAATCAAAATTCACAACTGTTATCATTTACAAAATAACACAAAATTGTCAATTGATTGATATTAATATATTATAAAATAAGTATAATATAGTTTCATATTAAATGATATACAATGAAATATAATACAAGCAAAATAAGCACAAATTTTTTGAATCGATTCATACGATATCATAGATATTATGGAGAGATCACAGAATTATACTTTCTTTGCTATTGTGTATAACAGTATTATTATTATCTATATATTGAATGACATGAGCTGTAAATGTTAGTCCAAATACGGGGAAATTGTTCAATAAAGTAGTGACTGAGGAAACTGTGATCATTGGCCGGTATGTGTGCTCTTTAATGGCATATTATTGTAACCGATAGCCCAAAAAACAACACAAACTCTCATTTATTGTTTACAAGAATAATGATATGAAAAGGAGTTTAAAGAATATTCTTTTATAGTATTAATATGTGTCTAAACAGCTGTCAGAATATGTTAAAAGATTAATATCAAAGTGTATTGTCAGCTCATATTCATCAACAATATACATGTAATTTAGTATCAAAACTAATAGGTTTACAACATAACAGTTAGATAATACTATGAAACCCAACGATCATTACATTATMAAATGCATAAAATCATCCAATACTTCAAAGTCTACATCAATGACTGCTTGCGTTGAGTAACAAATAAGTGCAGTAAAGATGAACGCAAAGAGAGAGAGCGAGAGAGAGAGAGAGAGAGAGAGAGAGAGAGAGAGAGAGAGAGAGAGAGAGAGAGAGCTAAGAGAAAGCATAGTTTTAGTGAAACTATAGTTTGATAGAGTAGTAGCTCATTGTACTCATACATGTCGCACAWATATCTAAATTCAAAGTTAGAAAGAATATTCAGTTTGATTGCAATTAAATATAACTTAATAAAATATATTTAAACATATAAATTATATTATAGCTCAACTAATTATAAAAGTCATATATAATTTATTACATTAATAAATAATATAAACTTAATGACTAATAAAATAATATTATACAATTTGCTAATTATAGTTTTATATTTATAATTAAAAAATATATAAGTAATTTAAAAAATAATAAATATAATTAGATAATTAGTATTTGTCTTAAAAGAATACATAAAACTACTATAAAGTTTTTTTTAAATTAAAAAATTATTAAAATGAAATATTGTATATTTGAATAACTAAGCCGAATGTGGAGTACTATGGTATGAATGTATGATTATACCCATCAATGTATGTATCACTATAGCAACTGCTGACTGACGTGCCTTCACATAATTTCTACATTTTTAGTTCATAGTTATAGACAAATGTTTTATATAAATTTATTAATATATAGTTTGAATAATTTTATCATTAGATATATTATTTAATTATTAGTGCTAACATTTAATTGAAAGTTTACATCATTTTATAATCAATAATATAATTAAAGAATAATTGGGTAACAATAACTGTAATCACTTGTATTAAAGAAAGTGTATGTACTGTATGTATGTGTGAGTGTGTGTTATGTGTGTAAAGCTATACAGTTATACAGTAAAGACACCACAAGTGAGTCGACATAAGCATTGAGTTAGTGTGCAGTCATAAGCAGTAAGATGTGCTGAAAAACAGTGTAATACTAACAGTTAGTGTTGGTAATTTTTCGCAATTCAATTTTCGATTGCCGCAATTGCGGAAAATTGCGTGAAATTGCTTGAAATTGCGCGCATGAGGGAATGTATAAAAATTAACTTTGACAATGTTAAAAATTTAGTTTACTATAGATTAAGATAATTTACTAATTTATTATTATTTCTACATGGTTTTTAGATGGCAATATTTTATGATTAAATAATTAAAATTAATATAATTAATTTATGTTTTTATTCACATTGCTTTACCATTTAAATTTTGTTAATTTTTAAAAAATTATAAATTGTTCTATGTTACAATTGCGATTTTCGCAATCGAGTCTTATGCAATTGCGGCAATTTCACGCAATTTCCGACCAATGCAATTGCGCATTTTGCAATCGGTACATCACTACTAACAGTAATATGTGTTACCTATCTATCCGTATATTATATCGACAATTAAATACTAGTATTTCCAATGTTTCACTAATATTGTTAATATTGTCATTCTCTACATATGTATGTTATGTATAACTATTTAATTTTGATTTATTTGTTATTTGATAACAAAAAAAAATTGTTATAAAATATATAAGTATTTGTTATAAATAAATAAATAATAATAATATTTATCTTTTATCTGATGCCTCACATGTCGACAAATAACATGTAAAACTAAAATTTTTATTGAAAAAATGGTAAATTTTATCTCATACTAAATGTTAGTTTGTGTGCGTGAATACAGTATTGTCTTACAAAATAAATTGATATTTTAAGCAATTTCTGGCATTTTAAGTGTTTTTCTGTGCTTTTATCCATTCTCTCTCTCTTTCTTTCTTTCTCTCTCTAATGATGTATATGGGGGTGTAGCCCACCCCTCCCTGAACGCAATGATATGCTTAATGTGTAAATCATACGACCGCTATTCCGAGATATTTGACTGTAAATTATAGTCCGTAAAAGTGGTCGCAACCCAACTGTCCATTATTTTTCGGATATTTATCGGTCTCCACTTACGTGAGCTCACGTAAGTAATGTATATATAATATATATATATATATAAATCATTTTCTTGATTTTATCTCAATTTTTATTATTTTTCTTACAATTTATCCATAAATTCAAAAAATTGTTTTTCATACTTTTCGTAGTAAATTTGAAATAATTTATTAGTTTTTATTATTGTTCATGTTCAATTTATTTATAGTATAATAACCTAAAATACATTATTTTTTCTATTTTTGACATTAAAGTCGAAATATTTTTTTATATTATATTATTATTACTGTATATTATATATATACAGTATAAGTTATATATATTTTTAAACGCTAAATACATACACAAATATATATATATATATATATACCRTATAATACTGAATAATGCCAAAAAATATTATCCTCGACATCCATGAGATTAAATATAATGAAAAATGAAATGAATTAAACAAAATTGGATTTTGAAGGAGTATTTTAATAAAGTCTATAATTACAGTACATTGAGGAAAGGGAGGTGTTTAGTACTGTATACCACAAAAACTATTTTATGCATTATTAAAAAAAACTGAGACTTGAGATAAATCTAATTAAATGAATAAATCGTAACATTTAATATAATATCAGTAAATAATATAATATTATTAAAATTTATAAGGTTTATGATTTGATAAATGTTTTATAAGATATGAAATCATAAAAATTTATGATTGTTTATAGCAATTGCGATATTTATATAGACTTTATTTGTAGGTAATATCGCAGCCATTGTATTCATGGATGAAGAGGACGAGTTGTCTGAAGTACAACCCGATACAGTGCCAACTGAAGTACGCGAGTGGTTGGCCTCCACTTTCACCCGAAGCAATGTCCAGCAAAAAAGGCGATCCGAAGATAAGCCAAAATTCAGATCAGTTGCTCACGCCATCAGAGCTGGCATTATGGTCGACAGGTTTGATATACACCAGTATTAGTGATGATATTATCAGTTTTGACAATAATATGTTGTTTGCAATAACAGAATCTATAGACGCTTTGCCGGTGCGACTGAACTCCATATATCGTCAGAAGCGGCTCAGGTCTTAAAGGTTGTGCTAATTGTGTTGATTGTGTTAATTGAATTGTAAAAAATAAAGGCAGCAAACCATGAAATACTTTGAAATTTTCAATATAGGGAGCGGACGAGTGGTATTTCGATGTGTTTGCTTTGAACGAGACCTGTAAAGGACAGGTGCTTAGATGTATGAGCGCCGACCTTCTCAATCGATACGGACTCATACATAAATTTAAAGTATTAAACCTATTATTTTAAAAACTCATTTTCTATTGAGTTTATCATTCAATAGAAACTTGAAATCTATATAAATATATAATTATTATTTATGAATATATAGATTCCTTCATTCAAATTAGAGAATTTTTTAAAGCAAATAGAGTTGGGTTACACTAAATATAGTAATCCATATCATAATAATCTACACGCGGCTGATGTCACACAAACCGTCCATTACATGCTTCTCACCACTGGTTTAGCTGTAAGTCAACATCATTTTTATAAGTAATTTATTCATTCAATATATATATATATATATATATATATATATATATATATATATATATATATATATATATATATATATATAAAATTTCATTTAAACAAAATAATACAGAATAATACAAAATAACAAAATTGTTATTTTTATTCAATAACAACATTGCTTTCTCATAATAATGACATATAAATTAAAATATTTTATCGCATTGTGTGTATGCTTAATGTTATATTGATTTTGAATAAAGCAACATACTGAAAATTTAACCATATATTATATTATTAAATTTATTTGATAAATCAAAATAATAAAGACAATAATAATAATAATCTATTATTAATAATTATTTTATTTTATTTTTTATTAAAATTATGATTATTATTCTAATTAAATATTTTAATGCAGTATTAAGAAATATCGTCAATAATTTATATAAGAAAAATAAACGTTAAAAATAGTATACAGTATTATACACTGTATAATATACAGTATATAATCAATAGATATTTAGTATTAGTTGTATTTGTTGTTCATTTAATAATCTAATGAATGGCTTATAATTAGAAAATATAATCCTTTGATAAGTGAAGCATTCATTTGAATGCTTACCTCAAGTGACAGAAATGTCTAATTAGTTTTTATTAATTATTTAAAACACCGTATATTTTGATAAAATAAAGGTTTTTTCGATATATGAAGAGTTAATAAAAGACAATATTTAAGGTAAAGTTATCTGAGATATGAGTAAAGAAATGAGAAAAATAATTATAAAAGTCATCGAGAGTTTAACTTTAAGAATAACGTTATGAAGAAAGAGAGAGATATTGATATAAAAGAAAATTAATGTTTTGTTGAATCACATAAAGTTATATAACAACAGTTAGAGTTGATGTGAGACAAACATTATGTTTGAGTTATAGTATTGATTATATGCCTCACTGTCTGTCTGTCTCTCATCTCTTGTCTATTATATCTATAAAGAAAAAGACTTAATTAAAGTGAGCGAAATATACTGATTGCCGATTGCAATATATACTGTTATATACTATAATGTCGACACAAATTCATATATATATATATATATATATATATCATATTATACAGCATATACTACTGTACATATAGGCATAGATTTTCAGTACATATAGAGTAGTGAATAATTTTACTATCGATACTCTCTATTTGGTTAAACATATTATATTTGTTGTGTTTATTAAAGCAAACATTTCTGGTTTTTACTGTAGCACTACTATACAGTGGGGTTTTTTTTGAATGAATGAATGCCTTAAATATGATAAATACATCATAACATTAAATGTATATAAAAATAAATTTTAATATTATATAATAAGTTGTTTATGCAACAAGTGATGCAACAATTTCTATATTAGAGAATATGATATATAAAGTAATGCATTGACTCTATATATAAGCAATTTATCATTTGCTAAGTAAAAGGAGAGATCTTAACTGAATTCTTGTACCAATTCTTTAGCGTGTTTTGCACTTTAATATAAAAATTCTTAACACAAAAACCATTTAAACTTTTTTTTATTGTATTGTATGGTATTTTTGTGAAAAAAATTATACTAAGTTTTGTTGAAAATGTTGACAGCAATGGCTCACAGATCTGGAAATATTTGCAACATTGATCGCTGCTATTATACATGATTACCAACACACGGGCACTACAAATAATTTTCACGTAATGTCCGGGTCAGTGATTAATACAAATATCATTTGAAAAAGACATCAATTTGTGGCTTAACTGATATTTTGTTTGATACTTAAACACAGATCTGAAATAACAATGATATATAACGACCGCTCAGTTCTCGAGAATTTTCACATAAGCGCCGCATTCAAAGTGATTCGTGAAAATGACTCCAATATTGTCGTCAATCTTAGTAAAGAAGAGTATAGGTATAGACACTAATCATATATAACTTACCCTCTAATCTATAATTTCATTACTTTCTTTTGTTAACATTTTTCATTATTTTGATAATTTGTTTTTTCGGCAGAGAATTTCGTTCCCTAGTTATTGATATGGTTTTAGCCACTGATATGTCATCACATTTTCTACAAATAAAGACATTGAAGACACTGTTAGGACACACGGAGTTTAATATTGACAAACCCAAAGGTCTGTCATATATTCTACACTCAGCAGACATCAGTCATCCGAGTAAGAGCTTTGATCTACACTATCGGTGGACCAAACTTTTGATGGAAGAGTTTTTCAGACAGGTATTAGTATTTGTATTTGTTTGGCTCAAACAGGAAATTATTTTCATAAACATATCATCAAAAATAATTGATATTCTGTTTGCTATTACTGTGATTATAGGGAGATATGGAAAGTGAGCTCGGATTGCCTTATTCTCCATTATGTGACCGCAATACTACACTAATACCACAGTCTCAAATAGGTATGTCCACTATAATATACAATATTTAATAGATAGCTTTATATAGGATATGCAATAATTGTAATTTATAATACTATATTATACTATGCATTTGCTTACATTCTCTAAATGTATAGTGAATAATAAATTTTATCCCATTTAATATAATATAAATTATATATATATATATATATCATAGCATAGTAATAATACATGAATTTACAGTATATAACAGACGTATATAACTGTATAATAACAATATGTGATAAATATAAAGACAATAAAATGTTGACAATGTCTAAGAAATTATACATTTTTTGTTGGATGTCTTATATCGTACTATAAAACTTAAATTCAATTTAATAATTTTTTCCCATTTTAAATATAGATTCTTTATATTATTCTCTAAATATAATGATAAAACGTATTATAAGAATTGGAGAAATTTTTTAAAAAATGATTGCAATTCATATAACTATACAGTATATTGAAAATAAATAAAATATGTGTTATTTAATTTTATAAATAGGTTTTATAGACTTCATAGTCGCGCCTACAATGGAGTTATGTGGAGATCTTATAGATAGAGTTAATCTTCATATTCACGGTTCCCAAGAAGTTGTCGACAAAAAAGATTCAAACATTCATTTAGAGCTTAAGACTCGCGCCAGACCTGTGTCTGCCAATTGTCAGCGAAGCTCTCAAAAAAATAACCTGTCGTTAGCTTCAGGAACTGATTTGACATCAAATTGTAGGTCAGTCTTGACTCTTATGTACAATATATTGCAAAATTACAAATAAATATCTGCTAAAAAAGTAAAGATAATATTTATAATAAATGAAAAAACTATTGACAGGTCGTCTACAAGCGCTCCGTTAGCTTCGAGAAATGCCGCGACTATTATTAAACCACTAAAAACACACAGACCTTGGATTCAATGCCTGGAAGACAACAAAAATAATTGGACGGAAAGAGCCGGTGAAGGTAACCACAAGTTTATTACATAATTCATCAATTATTACTATTATAACACATTATTAAAGTCTTGTCATATTAAGGACATATGTTTATAGATTTGAGTCAAACAATCATATTTTGTATAAAAAAATCATTGTTTTCTAAAAACAGGAAATGCAGTTTAAATATTAATATAAACAAAATTTTTAAAAAATATTATTTAATATAACTTTCAACTATTGAATAATACATTTAAAATAAGATTTTAATTAAAAATATTACAGTAGAATAATAAATATTATTATTACGATATATCAAAATAATGATATTAATAAATTAAAAAATATTCATTTTATCATTGATTTATTAGATTTTTATTTTAACAAAATAAAGACAATAAATAAATTAATTAAAGAAAAATGTACACCGAATGCCAAAAGTGCTAAAAATTATCAATTTTTTGAAATTACATTTGACGTAAATTATGATTATTATTAATGATTTATATATAAATTAACATTAATTATGAATATGAAATCACAATTTTAGTACATTTAATAAATTACAATGATAATCAATTTATATTATAGTTGAAATTTTTAGATATAAGTTCTAGTAAATTGATATATAAAGCAATTTTTTAGGTAAAAATTAAGTTTAATTTTTTTCTAACATTTGATTTCAGATGACATTTATGTAGTTTTTAATGCTTTAACAATTATTAAACTAAAATTGTTTTTTAAATTAGTTTTTGATAAAATTTATTACTATTAAATTGTGTTATTTTACGATTTTGAAATAAACCATTTCTGATGAGTTTTGAAGATATGGCACACATTTGTGCTTTATTTTAAAAACACTACTTTATTATAAACTCGATAATCTACTTGAAATAATATAATTTGATTTATAGACAGTATATCTCATAAATAGGACAAGTTTTTCTAGAAATTTTTTGTATTATTTAGGAAAATTTCTATTTTCTCAACACAACTTATATCTGAATTTAACGTTTTGTTATCTATTTTTAAATTTCTAACTTACCGTAATATTCGTTATTTATTATATACATAATTATATATATACAATATATATATATAATTTTTATGATATTTTTAAGTACAGTAAATAATATTCAATACATATTTATAAGTATAATACTGTATAATATTTTAGACACAACTAATTATTGATGTTTTTGTATTTATAATGATATTTATAGAAACAATTAAAAGCGAACAAAGTTTGCGAGGAAATGGAGATTCAACGCCAGAGTCGGAATTATAGTGATGTCTAACTGTGCCGTCACTTACAGCTAAAAACAACTGAAATAACCGAATTGTCAACTAATACTTAAAACTAAAGTACCTCTTAAAGCATATTCACCTAAAAAGACAACAGTAATTCAATTTTCAACAAACAGTTTGTAAATACCATTTTTAAACAATTTATGTAAAAAAAATTATTTATACATATATTTGATGTATATTTGAATTATAAATTATCAAAAAAATCCTTTTAGAAAATATTAGACAAAAGTATATCAATAAATTGCCTCAAAATTTTTAAGACTTAAATAAAACTACAGTAAAAGCCACTGTTGAGACCAATTTTGATTCACTTATTTTAGCATTATATCATATACAGCATATATCAATACTTTTTAAAAATTATATAAATTGTTAAATAATATGCAAGTAGACCCCATTAAATTAATTTTATATTAATAGATTTTTGCTTGAATTTTAAAACAAGTTTTATTGTTTAATAAGATTTATAATTGAATATTATTTTAGAAGTTATTATAATATTTAAATCATTGAAACTTGTTATCCATTGGTAAACAAAAGCCATTTATTATTAGATAAGTTTACTAAAAACTTTAAAACGTATTTTTGTGTAGTTATTTAAATATAATTATATTAAATATTAAAAGTAATTTGTAAATATTATAATAATGTAAACTTGATAATTTAAAGTGAATTAATAGCATTTAAATAATTATTATTATTGATAATATAATTTTAACAAATTGATTAATATTTGTTATATAAATTTGTTATAAATTAACAAAATGTTTGTTTAAACTGTTCAATACTTTTCAATAAAATTAATAATAAATAAATTATTAACGTTTTCACTAAACAAGCAATTGTTTGAATTATAATTTAAAAATTGCCCCATTWTTTCATATACAAAATACAGTAAATTATTTATTGTGTAAATATTGTTGCAAAGTATCATTTGTATTGTATATTTGTAAAACATATATTAAATAATAAATCAAAAGTACAATATTAATGAATTTATAGTTATAATTAATTATTTTACAAGTGTCAAGTTAATCAATTAATAATAACACATGTTAATTAATCATTTAAACAATATATCATTATATTTAAAATTCAAAATTTTTACATTTCTCATAACATTAATTCAATATATGATATGATTAAGAAAAGGTATTTTAATCGTAATATAAATAAATGCAAATACATTAGTATCAAAATACCAAATGATATATTTATTTCATAGGATTACTCAAATTAAACTCAAATTTAAAAATTTCCTAAAATCACCAAAATTTTGGTCCATTGATCCAAGAGATGAATGTTTTTTATTATTATAAATAATTTGATTTTTTCATTTAATGTGTTTTTTAAATCAAATTTGAAATATATTTATTAGAGGATTGGGAACAGAGTAAACCTTGATGTTAGATAAAATAGCCTGGTTTAAATTTATGCCTAAATATTAAATATTTATTGTCTAATTTGTGTATCGAAAATTTACATAAATTACTAAATTTTTAGTTTAACAATAACTATGTATAAAATCAACAATACTAAAATAAATACTAATAAGCTATAAATATATAATAGTAATATTAATTATTAAACAGAATTACACATAAATTAAAAAATGAAATTTAATTTATTATTTATGAAAGATATTTAGATGAATTGATTAGTTTAATAAAAACTCAATTATAAATTTTTTAAAACTAATACAGTATTACAGTCGTATTGTTTTACTGTAATAATAAAACTTTGTTTAAATTGATTGATTTAATTGACGCACAGTATTATAATTGTATATTTTGGCGCATATGTGGTCTTCATATGAGACCCTGAGGTATGTCCAGTGAGTGTCTCTATTTATGGTCAGTATATATATTAAATGTAGTTATATTTAATTGTAAATAGTTTTATCGGTGTTTTTCCATTAATTATAATATAAGATTTTACACGTGTTTTTTTAACGGATTTTTAAAAACTTTTTCAAAAAATATGTGTAGTTTTGATAAATATATATTTAAAAAGTTTTTAAAAATTCATCAAAAAACAGTTGTAAAATCAAATGATAATCAATTCCCACGTAATCACGGGTTTGGCTTCTAATCATACAATTGTTTCAAACTAAACAATGGTTAATAATTTATCAGTTTTTTCAACTATAACACCAAAATATTTAGACTTATAAACTAATTGATTATAAATTAACTAAATATAATTATTTAATATCTGTATATATTATGTAATTATTTAATATTCATCAAAATAGCCTATTTAATACATAAATATACTATACTTTATACAAATTTTTCGCATACAAATGCTTTAAATTGTATGTATTTATCAGGGTTGCGAAATGGGGGAGTAGAGGGTAAGGCCATCTTACCCAACTGAGATCGAGATTTTTAGGTTTTACCCCCCCCCCTGGCCTAAAGTTAAAAAGTTAGGTAGCCCAAAAAGTTTAATTAATGTAAAGTTTAATATTAAACAAAAATATAAATTCTAATTGAGTTTTAATATAAATAAATAACTTTTCTTTACAAAATAAATAAATAAAAACTTTTTAAATACTGAAAAAATATCTAGAGTTTGGGTATCTCAAGGGTGGATATTCCTTAATAAATTCCCTCCAATTTTTCAGAAAAAAATGTTTTTATTTTATAAATTTATAATTGTTTATGCTTTTTAATATACAATTTGATTTGTATTTTTCAGATTTTATAATTATTACTAATTAACTTAACTAAATTACAATTTAATTTTTAAAACGTAATAATAAATACATTACAATATTATTAATTTTAACATAACAACATTGTTAATAATTAATTAAATATTAAAAGCAAGTATTATAGTAATTGTTTTTACTTTATATATAAATGTATATTTTATGTAAAACTTCATTTTTTAATATTGTAAAAATAATACAGTATTATTAGTTTGAGAATATATTTTGAGTTTTAAAAAATTAACTTGGGAATATTTTTCTTTATTATGAAATTTATGTGAGAATTTATTGGTTATTTACTGGGAATTTCAACCCTACCTTTCACTCTACTAATGCCTCTTTCTCTCTCTCTCTCTCTCTCTCTCTCTCTCTCTCTCTCTCTCTCTCTCTCTCTCTCTCTCTCATTGTGATACATAATGTCATTCATTTAACATTATTCCTCATTAAACCATTAAAAAATATTTGCCCCGAAATTAAACACATATTTCTTTTTAATATTTAAATAATAATTGTGTTCTACTAACAAAAAATAATAATTTTTATTTAAATAAAATATAATAATAATAAATAATTTATATTTTATATTATAAAAGAATTATAAATCTAGAGCTAAATTCCAATTCTAGCTGTAATTTATATGTAATAAATATAATAGTTATAGTATTATTAACGAAAATACTAAATTTATAGCATTTATTAAATGATATAATATTTTTATACCAAAATTTATTAATCAAAATAAATTAGTAAATCAAATATTAAGTCAACTGTAAAGCTTGAAACGGATCCAACATATAAGTCCATAAATGCTTATTATTATCAATCCATTGATTATATGATGAAGGAGTTGACACACTATGTATTGGAGGAAACAAAGCGTTTGCCCATTGGTTGAGACCGTTTTGGATTAAATTAACCGATGGATCTTTTCGTTCAAATGATATATCTTCAACATTATCTTCATCTATATCGTCATAATAACTATTACTTTCATCTAAATTGTTGTCACAATCAGATAAATAATTGTTTGATGAAAATTGTTTTCTTTTATAATTGTTGTCTTTAGTCTTGTAATTATCTTCAATAAAATGGTTTTCTAAATTTTTATCATATTTACCATTCATATCATTTTTATCAAAATTATTTTCCACTAAATTATCACAATTTGTTTGAATAGGATTGTCATTACTGTTTTGTTGTTGACTTTTTAAATTATTTTCAGAGTTAGAAGAACTCTTAATTAAATTATATTCACTGATAATATCATTAAATGACATGAATTGATTTGATATGTCATTTGAATCACTCTTTGTTTCGTCTATATCATCAAAATTATTGTTTGTATTACTATTTAATTCTTGTACTGATTTTTCTGAATATTTTTTATTGTCATTCAGCATAAAATCATTGTTTAAGTTGTCATCCATTTTCCAAATATCTTCAGGAATCGGATGTTTCAATTCTTCGACTTTGAGTTTCGAATCTTTAATAATATTTTGCAAAAGCTCTACTTCGCGACCTTTGCTGGCAATAGTGATGGCAATACCAGACGTGCCTTAATTGTTACCAATAAATATGAAAACAATTGTTAAACTACCGGTAAATATACTATAATTATTATAATTTATATAACATACCGAATCTCCCGGCGCGACCTATTCGGTGCAAATAGGTTTGAGAATCAAACGGAGTGTCCATATTTATGACAAGATTTATATTGTAAACATCAATCCCACGAGCGGTTAGATCAGTGGATACGAGTACTCGACACTTGAATTTTCTTAGTTTGGAAATTGCTTTCAATCTTTCTGTTTGACACTTGTCTGCACTGATATACTCTGTCTTCCAGTTTAATGCATTCAATTTGTCGCAAAGCATACGAGCCCTACAATTAAAACATATCATCCAATTAATCATCAATTGTTCAAACAGTTAATTATTTGGTCACAAACCTCGTCTGATAGTTGGAAAAGACTAAGCACTGAGAAAATGAAACATTTGACAGAATTTCAATCAATGGTTGAATCTTATTGTCAAAGTTAATGTGATTCAAGTGGTGATACTCTGTCATCCAATAGTACTGTTTAAGACCAATCAGTGCCGGATTGTCGGCATTGAGTCTAACGAAGACCGGTGTCCGCATATATTTAGTCAGAAAGTTAGCCAACTCTGACCCCATTGTGGCGCTCACGGCTATCATCTGTTTGTTTTGTGGCAAACACTCAAATATGTCATCAATTTGTTGCTTAAAATTATTGTCCATAAGTTTATCGCATTCATCCAAAACTAAGAGCCGAATAGAGTTTGTTTTCAAAACATTCAAAGAAATCAATTGTTTTATTCTTCCGGGAGTTCCGACTACTGCCTGACATTTGCCTAACATATTGACATCTTCTTTAAGTTTGGTTCCGCCGATCACAGGACAACATCGGATGTCTGTATGTTTGGCCAATTGATTCATCACGTGATTGGTTTGAACGGCAATCTCACGCGTGGGACATATGATAAGCACTTGAGTGACATTTGATTCAAACGACTCAATCATCTCAAGAGCTGTCACCACAAAGACCACTGTCTTACCGGTGCCTGACTTGGACTGAACGATAAGATCGAGACCACAACGACTCAGAGGAATGGCGTGTAATTGAATGGCCGAAAGTCGCAAAAAACCATTGGCTGTCAGTCCAGACAAAACACTTTCCTTTAAATTCAATGACTTGAATGTTATATCACTTTCTTCATCGCAGACATTGATATCCTCTGACCTCCACTTCTTGTCATTCAAATTGTGTGCCAATTGTTGAGCCATTGGTTTGTCATTCAAACAGTCATTCAATCAATTGATTGAATTCAATGTTTGCATCAAATGTTTATCCCATCGATTGACTAACACTTACATAGATGTCAGCTATGATTGCATTGTATTGTATGAAAACTATTGACTAATCGATTAAATCGTATAATCTTTCAATAATTAACTGATATTTGTATTTATAATTTACTTATTGATAAAATTATTGTTTTATTAAATTTATTTTATTTTTCTGATTAATTGTAAACAAAACTTGAATACTATTTTTGTAATGTATTAATATATACTGTAGAGTACTGTTTGAAATGTGTTTTATTATTTGTTGGAAAAAACATTTATAAATTATTACTGTAAATATAGATATAATATATTCCCTGATATTTTATGTTATTAATAGTAACTTATATTCATTTTATAAATAAAAATAATAATTAAATTACTAAAATTAAATTAGTATATCATTTTACAAATGTACTGTTTTTTTTTAATTTTTTAATTGTAGTTTTTAAAATTAAGATTTTAGTGAAATTTTTGTTCAAATAGATAATAAATAGAGAAATTAAAGAATTTAACAAATATTAACTTTAATATAAGAATAATCAATAGATAACAATAAAAATTTTATAATATGTATATAAGAAAGAAAATAATTAAATTTTATCTAAAATGAAATAATTAATTACTTTAAAAACGATGATTATTTTGACCCGTTTTCACATAAAGGATATAAAATTGTTTGTATTATATGTCACGAAGTATACTGTATATAAAGATTTGAATTTATTAGATAACAAGTTTAGAAAATATTTTTGAGGCCATAAATGTAATATAAAATTGAATACAATTTTATCTATAATTATAACATTTCAATAACTGCTTAAAAAGCTTAAATAGTATATTAAACATGGTTTTGTCAATTATTAAATGTTTAATTTTATTGACTTTTATATCTTTAATTGATAATTCAGTTTTAAATAAATCTAAATTATTTAAATTATCAAATAGTGATATTCAGTATTACTTCAATAACATATTAAATGCAAAACTTAATAAAAGTGTTATTAATATAAAAAGTAATAATAATAATAATAATAGAAATATTCGTTCTTTAATAACAAATAATTATAATAATTATGAAATGAAATCAAAGTTTGATTCAAAACTAAGTTTTGTTGAAAGCTTTGCTGAGATTCCGTTGACTGAATTGAAACCAATGAATAAAAGTTTGTCTACAAAGCAATTGATGACAAGCAGTGAGAGTTCACATCATTTTAATGATGCCTTTCATCCAAACGCTGATATAAATAGATTAAAAGCAAACATTGAAAATAACTTATCGGAGACTAGAAATGGATTAAGCAATATATCATTAAAAATAATTACTCAGCAATGGATTGTCAATACATTCAATACAAATAATTTGCTAACGTCTACACAAAAATTTACAATTTCTGGCCATTCAACACAAGTTTGTCATATTTTTAATATTTTATATCTAAAATAACATTTAAATATTTTATAAAACATATTTATTCACCAGGAACAGGAGGGTCTTAATATTATAGGTATATATCCAGGAGTCTATAGATCAGGTCCTAATGACAGACTATTACTAATTGGTGCTCATTATGACACTGTTGGTAATACAAGTGGCGTCAATGATAACGGTTCCGGTATAAGTGCATTGTTAGAGATTATTCATTTATTAAATGCATATAATTGTCGATTAACTTATTCATTGATGTTTGTGGCACTAGATTTGGAAGAATATGTAATGTTTTTTTAGTTAAATAAATTAAAAAATATTGAAAATTTTATTTTGATTTAGGGGGCACTCGGAAGCAAATATTTTGTCAACGATTATCTCATACCAAATGAATTAATTGAACGCAAATCTCAATTCATAGGCGCTATTATTTTAGATACAATTCTTAATTTTAATCAAACACTTGGATCTCAAGATATTCCTTATGATATATTTAAAGTAATTATTAAATTTTGTTAAAAATATGTAAATAAAAAAATTATATAATTAGGCTCTTCCTAAATGGAGTCAACATATCAAACAAACTCAATTTGTTGGCGACTTTTTGGCTTTAATTCATCGAAACAATTTGGATAATGAATTGAGTGATAGTATAACCAAATTTTGGAGATCACACGCTAAACAAATGCCATATAAATTAAGTAAAATGAGTATCAATTCATTGGGTAATAATATTCCCGATTTCAAGACACTTACAAATCATGCAAACCTCTTAAGAAGTGATCACATCATGTTTTGGTATCACAACAACCCTCTAATTAATACAACACTAACGGCTGTCCTCCTCACAGATACTGGTATTATTCATATTACATAATTATACAAATATTTTACTATTAAAACATTTCAAAAAAATTATTTTTAGGTCCATTTAGAGGATATATGAGAGATTGCTATCATATCTCATGTGATAATACAACACATTTAAGCGAACAAAATCTTAATTTTTTAAAATTAACGGTTGAAGTACTAACCAAAACAGCAATTGAATTGACATCAGGAAAATGCAGTCATTTTATAATTTAAATATTAATTACAATATATTTAAATTACATTTAAACAAATTTACTGATATTTTTTGTTAATTTAATTTTTTTTAAATGTTTTGAAAAATGTTGAAAATTAAAAAACAAATATAATTTAGTTCTCGAGAAACGCCACATATTCAGTAAGTTTTGCCAACTGTTCTTCACTAGAAGTCAATTCTTCGACATTGTTTGATATCTTAGATGGTATTACAAAATTGGTTGTCATATCTATAGTCCATCCAAGACTTCGTATCTTTTCAATTGTTTCTTCTTTGGATAACCCAATATAATGGATCACTTCATCCAAACTAATTGATGTAAAACCTTTTGATATCAAGTTTAGCGCTCTTTTGCGAGTTGTTTCTGGAAATGTAATCATTTGTTTAGTCATTTTGAAAAGTATTTGAAATGGATATATGAGACAAAAGACAGACCGCCAATACATTTCATGACATTCTTCAGATGGTTCGGCCATTCATATGAGGCCAACAATGGATATATTGTCGGCAAATCACGATTCCATAACCTGATCCCTATCTCCCAAATGTGAGACAACTCAGGATTCTCTGTCTTGACATTCGCCGGAATTCGTTTCCACAAGAGTTTAGCATTTGGTCTAAAAAATAATAAAAAATTAGTCAATTGAATCAAATACAAGACATGACATACAGATCATTGCAAAGCAAATAAATGGCCAAAAGTTGTCCATAAATTTGCGGCGAAGCCATTCCTCCAACAGATTGCAACTCTTGTCGCTCCAGATCTGAGATGAGTGTCGCGTAATCGGGTGTTGAATCCATGACTTGTTAGATAAGATAATCACTAAATATGACACAAAATATCACTTAAATTGATCTCAATTTATAAATCTGTCATCAGATGTGTCTTTCAAACAACTGAAAGCAATGTTTGAACACAAATATCGTTTGAATGAAATGTTTGCATAATTTATATGAGAACTGAGTTTCAAAGTTTGCATTAATATTGAAATAACAATTGATTTCAATAAATATAACAAATATTTCTATTATATTGACTATCAATACAACAAAAGCCATACATTTTGACATCAATTGGACACTAATTAGACATTAATTAGACATCAATTAGACATTAATTAGACATCAATTAGACATCAATTAGACATCAATTAGACATCAATTAGACATCAATTATGGGTAAATATCTTGTCTTTGCTCATGATATCAGTTGAACAACTCGTTTAACTTTTGTTTTATTGACATCACAGCCGATCTTAAATCGGAGAACGAAGAGAACGAGACAAATGGTGAAGAAGACGATGAAGACTTGTCTACCAATGATGACAACCAACACGTGTCGGACAATAGTGACAATCAGTCGATGTCGGTGTCAAACGTGGGTCGAAAACCATTGCACGGAATGCCTTGCAGTCTCAAGACGTTAGTCAACGATAAAATACTTGAGCCTAAAGACGGATCCCTTTCTATTGATTATATGGTATGTTTGGATTATATGATAATTAGTTGTCATTAAATACAGATGTCATTTGTGATAAAAGGGTGCAAAATTTATGGCAGACCTATTGCCTAACGGAACCATTAGATTACAAGAAACTAAACAAGTATTTATGAGTCCGTCTTCGTGGGTGAATCACTGCCGAAAGTTGGTCAACGGTGACGCCAAACTGGGCAGTGCCTGGTCTACCATAAGATATATGGGCAAACGTCTCGACTCTTATAAGCTTCGGTGGTATAGAAAGCAAAAGAAAATAACGGGAAGTAATTCATCAGATTTTCCCGTCGATACAAAACCAGGAATATCAGGCATTTCGTGCTCTAAGAGTGTTCAAGTAATTAGTGATTATTCAGAGATCGAAAAGTGTGGAAATAAAACTTTAAAAGATGTTAATGTTGTCGAACATCGAGTTTTGGGCAATCGTTCCGACTCTTTAAAGATGAATGTTATGGTTAAGTGTCAACCATTTGCAGCAATGGATCGGATCCAACCCTTCACTATAACAATATCGACAAATGCTTTACTTTTAATTGACTTTCATTGCCATCTCATAAACACTGAAGTCGTCGGTTATCTGGCCGGCAGTTGGGATGTGGCCACACATAATCTGGCGATACTTCAGGCCTTTCCCTGTAGAAGTAAACTCACGGACAGAGAGAACGCAGCGCTCGTTGAGGAAGAGATCAAACAAGCGATGGAAAGAAGACATTTGAATTTGATTGGTTGGTACCACAGGTAAGACAACGTAATACTTGATGTTTTGTCAAAAATTTATAATTAAGTTATGATTGGTTTAAACAGTCATCCGAAAGCTGTTCCCCAACCAACCATTAAAGACATTGAAAGTCAAATAGAGTATCAAATTGCTATGAAAGGAGAGAGTGATTCTTCATATACTCCATGTGTTGGACTTATATGTTCACCATTTTATGAGTATAACGATGGACTGTCGGCCACATTCCAGGTGTATTGGGTTATGCCTCCACCCGAAACCCGACCCAATGAATACGGCAAACCAATGCAAATGACTTATACAATATCAAGAGATTCATTTCTTACACAAGACTTATTGTTAGAAATGGTAATTATTATAAACCAATTGTTAAATATTTAATATCTAATGATAAGATTTATTTTACAGAGACTTTTGGCTCATTTTTACGCCGTGTCTAAAGGTTTTATTGATTTCAATAAGGATTACAAAAATGAAAACACAATTTGGCAGAAACTGCAGATATCATTAAAGTCGAAACTACCTCGTGATCTATTAGACATTGAGGGTCAGTCAGCATCTCAAGCACAGGTCCAACAGCAAGCATTGTCTCACTTTTGGGCTTTTATTAAAGGACTTCTCATGCCTTAATTGCGGTCCAAGAGTTTTATTAATAAATAATTAAATTCATACTTAATTTACACAATAACTTAAACATTTTTTTATTGCAATTGTCAATCATTGATCATTACATATATAATCATTATTTATTGCTATTTACATATATTTACTTTTGATTTTCAGATTTACGGTCAAATACTTAATTTATTTTATGTAAGCAATCGATTACTTCATTATCTACCATATATGGTATATAAACAATGTTTATTAGCAAATATTGACTTTAATTTAAATTTAAATGATTTTATTTATTAATCCGGTGCTGTTTTATATCATTGTAAAATGTCATTCAAAATTTCATTCAAAATATTTTCTAAATAAATTGTATATTACTATTAACTTATTTAATTTATAATTGATAAATACTTTTTATAAAAAAATTGTAGAAAAAATCAATGAAATATTTTAATGAAACTTCTTAAAATCTGAATAATTATCTATTAGTATGCATACTATGAGTTTCATTGACACTAATTGATATAAAATATGTTTAGTAAAAAAGTATGCCTTTTGTATAGTAAATATACAGTAGTAATCCTGTAGTAAATTAGTACTGTATATAAGTTTATAAAAATACACTGTTGTTTGTCAGCATTTTTATAGTCGTATGCCATTAGAAATGCAATCATATAATCATTTAATATAATATACGATATGATCTAATGTCTGAGTTATTCATATTTCTTAAGGTTTTATCTCATTATTTTCAATGTTGCAAATGTTACTTATATTTAATGTTTGATTCACAAATAGTAGGTTATAGTGTGTATCACTAAAATTATGAATACATTTATTCATATATATGATGGAAATATGATATCATTTGCTAATTTAAATACCAGTCGAGAGTTATCTCCAATTTTGAAGACTTTATTGATTTTAAATCTAAAGTAACGCATGATTTCTAAACCTTTTATTATTATTATTTATAAAAATTATTGCAAATGTTTCAGTTATATATAAATTATATATAATATATATATATATATATATATATATATATATATATATATATAATTACTAAAGTAATTATAAGATATTAATTTTTGGGATTTCTATTCACTTTCTTTTTTTTGAATGAAACTGAGTTTGACTTTTAAATTAATTTTTAATTTTCCTTATTATGAAATCTTTTGACAAATTTCTCCCAAAAATAAAATAATTTTGATCTTTATAACCAAAAATATATTTATGTGATAAAAATAAACGCAACTAAAACCTCTAGAAAATTGTTGACTTCAATAAAAACATATATTACTATAGTAATAAATATTTAGTATTATTTTTATTATTACTATAGTAATAGATTATACTGTATTTACTGYAATATATTGATATAAATGTATACTAAAACAAAATTGAAAACTATCATCTACAAAATACCTAGATTTTTCAAATGCAAACTTTAGCCTTAAATTTAATTAAATATAGTATATTTAATAAAAATACAATTTAATAGTAATTTATATATATAATAATTAGTTTAAAATGCACATAATCAATAAAACTAAATAATAGTTTTAATTTTAGAGATTATTGTATAACATTATTGTATTATATATTTAAATAAATTTTTGTTTATATAATATAGTACTTTAGATTCACATATTTAGTTGGCGTTAAAGACTAAAATAAATTGTATAAATAAACAAAAAAATATARATAGTATTTTTGTAATTTATTACATTTATTTAAAATAAAAAACATAGGTTTATCACATTTATAAAATAATTAACATAAAAATAATAAATATACTATTATTATTCTGGCCAATTTCTCTCTCTCTCTCTCTCTCTCTATTTTATGTATGTTTGTAATTATCATAATAAATGGTTAATAACATCTAAACATAAGTTTAAATTTTATTATTCTCTGCAATTAATAAATATATGTATAATACTTAATATTAAGCAATAATTATTTGAATTTAATTTAAAGATTGAAAGCATGTTTTGAACACATAGTGTGTAAATATTTATTATTATTTATTTGTTTGTTAATATAGTATTTGTTATTTACATTAGAGGCACACCTAATCACCTAAATTCTTGATAACTAAACTCAACTAATTTTATTTGAAAGCAAATAATTTGTTCACAAATTCATTTGAATGGCTATTGTTATGTTTGTTTGCTCTTATTTTTGCTGCAAATCATAAATAAAAAATAGTTGAAGTTATATATATATATATATATATATATATATACTGTATATTCATAGTATATAGTAATACATTATATAATAGAATATATATACTGTATTTAGATGTGTAAAGCTTTTGTCAGGAAATAAATTCAATTATATATATTATAACAATTTTATAATATAGTAATATACAGTATTAAAAATGACCATTATATATATGTATATATATATATATATATATATATATATATATATATAAAGTTATTGTATATTATCAAATAAATTTATGACTCAACATGAATAAACAATTAAAAATCCATAAATATATACAATTTAATGTATATGTATAGTATAACATAAATATATTTATAATACATATGCATAATACTGTACAGTATTGTACAAATAACTCGAGTATTTTGAATTTAAAAACAATAATTCATGCTTTTTACTCATAATTGAGTTATTTTAAATTTTATTAAATTATAATCATTATGACTTGTAGATTCTAGGTATCCACATATAATTTATCAATATTTATATTATAATTTTCTAGCATCAAAAAAACTCATTACCCAGGGTCAACGGTACAATTTAAAAAAAAATTTAATTATATTGACATAATTGACTTTTCAAATTGTATAGTAATAATTAACATAATGAAAATTATTTAAATACATTTATGCTATTGTATTGTGTTTTGAATTTGTATATAAAAAATCATTAGTAGCTCTTTTGTAATGTTAGGATATAATAGTTACATCATTGACTTCCTTTAATAATATCAAAATGGTTTGGTTTTGACTATATTTGAAATAAAAAGCGATTTCCTGACAAAATCTTTGGTTGCATTCAATTGAATGGATGTATCGCTTGATTAGGCGTTTTGACAAATTTTTCGTTCAGTTAAGCCTTTAATTCAAATGTTAGACAAAAACCTAAGAAACAATATTTTTAGTTCGCTTTCACTTTAATATTGTTTAATACTTTCAAAAAAGATAAAGTCGTTTGTTGTTAAGGCACTCAAAAAACTAAAATATACATTAAAAGTGATAAATGTTTAAGTAATTTAAACCAGACATATATACTGTACTATTTGTATGGTATGAATCAAATGGTTAACAAAATTTTCAAACTATTATATTATGGTTTTGTAAAATTTGAAAAATCCAGATATTGTCTAAACATAATGAAAATGTGTTAAAACTAAGACATCTATTTGTATTCATCAGAGATGTTTGTGTTGTTTTATAAGCAAAATATAATCATTTAGAGTACTATATATTGTATGTATATATGAGTTAAGTCAATGCAAATATCATTTTTTTTGTTCACTCAATTGCTTTCAATTATATTATATTAAATGAAATTAATTTTTTTTTTTGGTCCAAACTTATTGGGTTTTCGCCCAAAACTATACATATATTGTCTGTAATGACACCACCAATGCTTAGATGGGGTGTAACTCCAGACACAAGCCTTACTACACATGAAATATACAAACATTTAGAAAATGGCAAAAATGTTTACTTTTACTTTATTTATAGCAGTATTTTTGTAACCATATGTTTGATGCATATAATAGCATCAAAGCCTCTATGCGTTTGCATTTATAAAACCATAATTTTACAATAGTTGTGAAATATATACTCATTTTGTATTTCAACAAAATTTAAATTATTGTCATTTTTGTTTTAATCCAATCCGTGACTAATGTTTGCATTAAAAATGAAATATAATGATAAAATTGACATAAATGCCAACTTTTCCAACTAATATATGATATAAATATAAAACAATGGATTAATTTATTTGATATACTGTAGACTTACAATCAAAAGACGAAATATTAAATAATTTATCAAAATTACTGATATTTGTGTTGTTTTTAAATTTACTGCTCTTTTCTCTCACTTATAGTGTTATCGGTTCACAACTCTATGTTTTACTCATATTTTTTCACTTTTCTTTCAATGAGTTTCAAAGGAAAACATTTTGCTATTTTGGAAAAATACAAACTTATGATTAATTATTTATTATATAAAAAAAAGAAATAAAAAAACAATTTTTATTTATTTTTCTTTGTTCAGAAACTTTATTCAATAGAGAATAAGTAGAAAAAGCATTTTATACTATAATAAAAAAACTTAAATAACTTACAATTAATAACATTTTCGGTAAAATATTTTTGTTTTAGATTTTTAAATTAAAGATATAATAAGATATAATAAATATTTGAAATCTGCGCTATATATCAATATATATATATATATATATATTTAATAATCAATCGCACCATTATTTCAATCAAATTCAGGCCATAAAAGCGAGACTTCGTTTTTTTTTGTTTAGATAGAAATTAACAATTAATAAAAAATTTATAAATATAAATAAACACAATATATAAATTATATAAAAATTTCGATGTTATTGTAAAAGACATAAAACATGTATAAATTAAATTTTTATAAAGTTATTAAATATAATATAAATATTCTCCCACTAGAAAAGCAAATTTTTAAAATATAGCATAAAAACAATTTAAAATAAGTATAATTACAATATGTTGTTTGCTTTTTAAACAATTTCATTCATTGGTCCACAAAATAATTTGAAACCAATAAATATTATGAATTACAATACAAAATCGTCAAAAACATTTAGACGATTACAAAAAAAATCGTGTCATAAGTTTGACTTAAATTTTTAGTCTATTTTACAAACTTTTGCACATTTAATGGCCTTTACTTTAAATAAATTGTATTTAAGTCTTAATTTGTTCACTATATTACAGATCTTCTAAAGATATATATATATATATATATATATATACTTAGTTAATATATAAATGCATAAAAGTATTTTTAAAAAGTTTTTAACACTATTATCTATATAAGAAAAAAATAATATCAATATGTATAGAAAAAGAGTTAAAATATCTAAAAAAAACATTTGAAACAATTCCTAATATAAATTCAAAAAAAAAGAAATAAAACAAGAAATTCATTATTCAATGATTCATTGAATATATAAAATGAAATATGAATTCAATTGCTTAATCAATAATAATGTTTAAATATTATCAAAAACAATGTTTTTTGTGTTTTTATATAGTGTTAAGGCTATGACTTTAAAAAACGACTCAAATACAACTTTATACAGAATAATTATATTAAATTATTAATTAATTAATTTATGAAAACATTATATTAATTTATGTCTGAAATATATTTGTGTTGAAAGTGGTGTTTATTCATACATTAGTTACAAACAGTTTCTCCGTTAAGTTGTAAAACAGGAGAAGCGTTGAAATTGAAGCAGAGATTAAAAACAAGAAAATGTATCATTGGATCAATTTGTTTGCTAAATGTCTTTAAATAATTTTTGCTATGAGATGGTCACTGAAAATTGCAATCGATGTGAACTTTTTGTTGACTTCTTATTGTTGAATATCAGTTGACTATATTTCATGTTATGTTTACACATGTATTATATATTTAAATAAATATAAAAAACTTATTACAAAACATGCTATAATTAAATGTTACAATAAATGCTTAAGTGATGGTTTCAGATATATATTGTATTATTGGATGCCATTTGCTGACTCTCATGTCGTTTATGTCTTCATTTATTTAAATACTTAAATCACAGAAATAGTCAAAGTTGTAGACAAACTTAAAAAGCAAAGTTAACAACACTTAAAGCCGGCGTTCAGTTAGATTTGGTCTTCAACTGTGCTTTAAATCGTTAAATTCAATACCATATCATCTGTGCCATCACAGGCTCAGCATATATGCCAAACACATACACAAGCGTTGCATTCAATGAATCCAATGATGACTCACAATCCGGTTATACTCTTGTCTTCAATTTGTTTGGTTTAAGTTCACAAATACTTAATATCAATACACATAACGTACAGTTAAAGCATCACATTTAAAATCGCTGTTTTCATTAATTATTTGTTTATAAACACTTAATTCATTCATTTAATTAAATCAATTCCTTTCTTTAAACATATCTATACATATAGGGCTCAGTCTTAAAGTCATTTTATTTGCAGAGTATTGAAAAATAGTCATATTTTCAATTTAGTTTTCAAAGTAGTCCTAAAAACACCCCAAATAGTCTTATATTTTGAAAATTATCAAAAAATTGCTATAAAATTATATTAAGAAATATTATAAATATTACGAATTATTTACTTAATTGATACTTCAAAACCTATGTCTATATTTGATTGAAATGATGAAAATTGTTGATTAATATATTGTATAGAAAATTGCGTTCAAAATGACAATCAGTTATCGGACAGTATTTTGAATGACTAGACCTGTGCTCAAAAAATGTCATTACTTGACGCTGTTTACAATACATAGACATTATAAGACATGGTTTTCTAGTATATCACTCGTTTATAGTATATTTTGTAATCATAATATACAATAAATATAAGCAAATTATACATAAAATAATACAAAGTAGTCTAAAATAGTCGCTTATTACTAAAATTAGGCACAAAAGGCTGAAATAGTCATTTATAGGCATTTATAAAAATGTGTAAAATTGGTGCTCAAGACATGAATCGGTGCACAATCTAAGTCTTTAACTTATATACCGATCTCCGCAGCAATAGGTCTGTTATACCTATAAATCAATACTCTGATCATTAAGCTATACATAAAGTTATTTAATATACATAATTATATATAATTATATTAAATATTATTTAATAAAGTCGTGTCGGCATTCAATCACTTGTTTGCGTTTATGTTTAACAAATGGCTTATTAAATGATTACTTGTGTGACCACTGTTTGRCAAAAAAAAGAGATACACGAAGACATCATATGAGACAAACAATTAGTTTTATAAATGATTTCAAATGTTGACTAAAACGGAGAGTTTGATTCATTTGCAAAAGTATTGCAATATTTGTGTGCATTTAAAGATTTGAATGAATGTATTAAATGGATTGAATGAATGGCACAACTGATGACACCGTCATCATTGGTGACGTTTCATGTGAAGAGCCAAATGGTCGGAACGGGAGAAACACCGCTCACAGTGACTGCATTTGAAAGGTTTACTTCCCGTGTGTTTTCGGAAATGTCGGGTCAATTCATCGGATCGGGCAAAACGCCATTCRCAGCCCTCCCACGAGCACTTGTAGGGCTTCTCACCTATCAGTCCAATAGCATTACACATCATTAGTCATTGTTATCAACTGTTATAACTACTGTATTAAATAATTTAGTTTTGTTTCAAAATTAGCTATTGATTGCTGTAGTGTTTCCCCAACTATTGATTTATTAATATACCAGTCTGTCTGACATCGAGTGCACTGATACCACAATCACTAGATTATCACTGCTTTTAAAGTAATATAATATATTATAACATAACATAACACCCTATCATTTCTAATTGTTTTTGGCTTCATATTTAACTACCGTTAGATTCGTTAATTATTAATTGATATTTTTTAAAATAAAATAATATACTGTTTATTCAATAATAAATAATAATATTTTTTGACAAATTATTTATTATATAATATATTTTTCTACAATATATATTTTTAAAATTATAATGATAACATAGTATAAAATATTTTCTATTTACTATGAAATAATTATAACAAGAATAAACACTTAAATAAAATCCCACTAAAATTATTTACTATATTTAAAGTTAACTGATTACTAACTAAACTTCAATGAAATTGTAATCTCAAGTATTAATCATTTTAGTTATTTCACACATATTATAGTATTAATCACTATTTGATAAGTAGTTGTTTATGAAAACATATTCCTTCAATATTATAGTAGTTAACAATCCGTAAGTAAATTAGGTAATAGTAATTGAAGTAATTTATATTATATTGTAAATTTACTAAACAAACATAAATTCAAGCTATTAATTATAGGGGGTAAATGATTGAGCGTTAAATTGATGTAATTGAAAAAATGATCAAAAATTAGGATAATTTACGTTCAAAGCATTTATTGATCAAAATCTAAAATCAAATATCTCGAAAATCGGAGGTAAACTATCGATGCGGGGTATCATTACATTGAAGGAGGGGTGGCTGACATCAGTATATATATATTACTTGAAACATGGCTTAAAATTGTGGGAAACGTTTTATTTTATATTGTTTTTGCAATACAACTAGACATTGACAATAAATAAGTGGCAAAAAATATTTTTGACATTTTAAGAAACTTATAGTATAAAGGCAGTAATGTATGAAACTATAGTAATATTAGTTTGTAGTAAAATGTGTGATATCATGATAAATGGTGATATTTATTTACCCCCCGGTGACCAAACTTTGCTAGTTTTCTAAAAAAATGCTAAGAAATGTCTAAACAGTGAAATGTATGCAAACCTGTGTGCGTCCTTTGATGGGCCTTCAGATGTGATGATTTTGTGTAGACTTTTTTGCAGCCATTGAACTGACACTTATGAATACGCCTTTTCGAGTCGGGATTGATTTCAAAGCGACCTCTCGATCGGGAATTGCTTTGAGATGCAGTCGATAATGAGGCAGAAGTGATGTCAGTTTTAGGTGAAGCCGAAGCTGAGATAGCAATGACGCGATCAATAGCTGAGTCATTCAATGGTATGGCTTCAGTGGTGACTATAGTGAGCGGAACAGTTGCACCTTCGCTGATGTGATGTTGTTCTACAGTCCTATTAATCAAATTCACTTTCAATTGGGTCTCAGGAGAGGACGGAGGCGTTAGAGTTGAGGCCGAGTCTTCATCTTCGGCATTACGTTTACGGATCACATGATGACTGGAGTGACTATTTTGCAAATGAACTGAACTTTTGTTTTCTGAAGAGATCTTTGATATATTTCTTCGTGGAGAAGAGTTTTTCGTCCTTTTGGTATTTGATTTTATCTGATGCTGACATTGAAGTTGTTGTTTAATAGTTGTCGACACTATGGCCGCAATGGTGTGCGCATCACTAACACAACTGTCCCACGATATGACACTACTGCCACTTGAACTCAGACCCGAATCCGAGTTCTTCTCATTAATATCGAGATCAGAGACACTCATCCGGTCTTCACCGCAACTGTCGGTCCCACACAAAGTCAGTGGTAAAGACTTGTCGTCCTCAGTGTCCGACTTACTCTCGATGTCCGGTATTATCATTTCGTTTCTTTGATTTCCTATCATCAATGGTTTGGAGAACATATCCCACGGATCACACGGGAACTGATCCAAGTGTCGAATCTTTGGCTCGTCTTTTAAATATCTATCCATTTCTAACATTGTCTGAAAACATTAAATTTATTTCTAATTTATTAGTCTTTCTGTCAATTCATAAATTATATCATAAAATAAGTTAAGATAAACAAAATGAAATGCATTTATTCATACAATTTGCATATATTAATAAAAATGATATAAAAATATTAATTTAAATAAAATGACAATCAGTTAAAAATTATGAAAAAACTACAAAAAATTGTTTTTATAAGACTATAGGCAATACATATAGAGATGTAATAATAATAACTATAATAATAATGATATAAAAAATTAATCAAATATTCGTTACTTAAGTTATACTCTATTGATATGTATATTAATATATGATATGATATGATATGATATGATTGATATAATTGATATAAATTCATGTCAACTATCATTAGTGTCAATACCTGCTGCCACTTGTCCTCCAACGACAACTGTGCGGACAAATATCCCGTTTCGTGGATCACTTGAAGCTCTTTGAATATATGACCGCTCGGCAGGATATCCATAGCCACTGATGACCACTTGTATTGACTGCACTGACCGTACGGTACTGTTTGGTGACAATTGACTTAACTATCGGATCACTACTTCATTACAATTCATTTTAAACATAACATAAACACTACGGAAATGTCATTAATGTTTGAATCACTTATTGTTTTGTCTGTAACTATGATATCAATGTTTGACTGTTTAAGTCATTCAGTACTGTATATAACACTAACAACACTAACACTCCTCCATCACTGGTTCTAACCATTCATTCACATAATAGGGGTGTCCTATAGTATAGAGTCTATAGAGTCTATACACCGGAAGATCATACCATCAATTATATTGTGACCGAACCTAACAGTCAAACAATAGTCATATTCATTGTAATCAACAAATTATTGTTAAAAATTACATTAATTGGTCCCAAATCTAACCTAATATCACATAAATAAGTCATTTATTTATTTCAAACAATTAAAACTTCTTAAATGCACTTTAATTATAAATATAATAATAAATATTCAACAATTGAACATGGTCGATTTTAAATTACAATTAATTAAATAATTTTAATCAAATTATGTTATCTTTATTACAAAATTAATGTTAGATTTAAAAAAACTTTACTATTAATAAGTAATGAATTTATTAATTATATTAATAGCTAATAAATGCCAATATCTTTATTGTATTAATTTAATCTAAATTTTAAATAAATTAACAAATTTATTAATAATAATGTTTTTTAAAGTATAAATTGAATATAAATTTAAAATGAAATAATGATTGAAATAATGATTGAAATAATGATTGAAATAAATTATTAGAAAACTATAGAAAAAGTGTCAAAAAATGTGTTTCTATTACAAAATATTTCTATTACTTTGTTTGTGTGAAACCCTCTCCTGTATTGTATGTATTGCTTGTGAATAGCAGTGAAAACACTAGAACACATCGGAATTTTTTTTATATGTTTTTTTGATATTTTATTTATTTTTAAAATATATTTTATTTAATTTTTAAAATTATTATTAATGAAAATGATATTTTACAAAAAAATCATCAAAACATAAATAATTATTACAAATTGAACAGCAAATAAAAGCTGTTTTATTACATATATTAATTGAATCTAATTGAAATAATATTTTATTAACATTTAATTCATTATAACTATTGCTATTATTTTCATTAATAAGTTAATGATTTTTTAAAAAACTCATGAAAAACAACTGAATTAAATTGGTTAAACATAAGAGACCATAATTTAATTATATTATTTCTCTGCTTTAAATGAATGTCTATATTTTCTAACATTACATATTAGTAATACGTTTAACAAAATCTTTACAGTATCTAAACACTCCAACATCTAAAGGTTGTAATTTACCTGTAGTTCGTGGCGGTATTGTTAAACGTTTTAAAGTTTTCCCGAATTGTTTTCATAAATTTTGTCATCTTTTTGTCCGCCGAAAGAGTCCAAAAGTAAAAGGCAATTAGATGTATCATAAAAATGATGTGTTCTAGTGGCTAGGATATCAATTATATTTTAATTCATATTTCATATGCGATAGTCATTTTTCTTGATCAGTAACTATTGGTCCCAATACACCTGTTGTTTCTTTGAAACAAATTAATACTTTTGAAAAAACGATCCGTCACTTTTTAATATTGGCATAACTGTATAAGAATGAGTGCAATCGAATAATGCTTTTACTGATAACGATGTCGTTGCCTCGCCTTTGTTAGACAATGTTCTCATTGACCGCAATTCGTAATTGACACCTGTTTGGTCAATATTACAGATTTCACTGTAAAGAAAAAATGTTAAATCCTAGCCACTAGAACACATCGGAATTTTTACCTTTCTGTATAATCAGTAATTGATTTATTAAATTCAGTTTTAAATCAGTTATCGAATCATCAATTTTTTGTTGATTTTGTATTTCACGATAACTAACAATTTTCACAGCTTTCCGAGAGACTATTCTATTATTTTTTTTGAATTTTCTGAGCCAAAAGCACTTGCTTTAATCTTATAATTTTCTTTATGTGCATATTCTAGTGTCTATTGTATGTACAAGGTAAAAACTTTTCTCTGGCACAATATTTATCAAAACATATTATTCGAATATTTTTGGCGGGCGTTTCCGTTGTTTTCGACATACTTTTTGATTCTACTAATGTTCTCAATATGTTTTAATGAAAATCTATGTTTTATTGATTTTCTTGAATGAGTTTTATGCTCATTACAGTCAATTTCTTGCATTCTCTCCAAACTCATATTTAATCCTGAAGACTAAAAAATATTTTTTTAATTCCGATGTGTTCTAGTGGCTAGGATAACAACTATCTTACCTTTTGTGGTGACACTTCATAATCCGAGTCTTCAATATCATTGCTTTGATTTTCATAACATTTGACTCAATGGTCATCAATTCCGCCGTCTTCAATACTGTAGTTTATATTGTCGACATAATTGTTAATTATTTTAAATAAATTATTTGCTAAATCTTTTTCATATTTATTTAATTCACTTTCATTTATAACATAATTTTCTTTAATTAATTTATTTAAACTGTTTATTACATTATACACATTAAATGATTGCATATTTGTTTAATTTAAATATCACTGATTTGTAATTAAATTATTGTTAAAATGTTTGGTTGAGTTTCAGACACATAGTATTTGATAATATCAGTCAATTGTAAAAACTTTTATAATTTACAATTAATGTTTATTGTTTATTATTTATTTACATTTCATAACATTTTTATAACAATAATAGTAAACAATGTTTATAAAGCAAAACAAAATTAATAAAAAAAATTAAACATTTATTACAGTTTTTGATTTAATTGAAAAAAATAAATTATTTAAAAAAAATATTTAAAAAAAATTCCGATGTGTTCTAGTGGCTAGGATGGGTGCGAACCCAAAACCTTTGAGTCTGCGAGCGACTGCGCTAACCATTGCGCCATTGGGCCGCTCACAACATTAACTCAATAACTTTTTGTTATGATGTTATTCATAACTTAAAACCTCTTTTACCCCCCTTTAAACCTCCTATTGGGTGAAAATTTAATTTTTTATATTTTTTATTAATTAAAATCTATATTTTAAAACATAATTCATATTTTTATTAAAGAAACAAATTAAATCATTGCATTGTGAGTGTTGAGTCATTGCAAACAACATATTATAATACACTTTCTAACCGTCACTTTGAAGTGTCACGTGATTTATGAACAGTGCCTAACATTAGTCATCGATGACTAAAGAATTTCATTTGAAAATAGAAAACCAAAACCAAAACCAAAACCAAACCCACAATCACTTCAAGGATTTCGAAACAACTTTACATATAATATACTATTGACTCAACAGATGTCTCACCCATTGATAGTAATGTCAATACACTCTACTTATATGTATTCAACAATAAATACTGTTAGGATGTGTTGACTACATTAGGTTCTATGGTGTAATGGTCAGCACTCTGGACTTTGAATCCAGCGATCCGAGTTCGAGTCTCGGTAGGACCTTATTTTTTTTTGTTTTGTTTATTTTATATAAATAGCTCCAGGGCAATTATTATTCTAAACATTAATTATAATGTCAATGCCGTATAATTTAACCATAGCTTCCATTATTAACAATAGCTATTATTAATTATATATTCAATCATATTATATACCATTAAAATTTTTAATTAAAAATATATTAATATTTAATATATTACTACAGTATATAATATAAATATGTAATATCTTAACAATGTTAACAATATTTTCAAATAAATTAAACAGTAATTTTGAAAAATTTAATTTTTATTACTATAAAATGTGATATAATGAAAAAGTTCATTGCTGTTATTTTCCCACAAAATGTTCAATTTATAATTAATTAAATGTGTATAAAATTGATAATTTGGAAATGGATCAAGGCAGTTTTGTTGGAAAATTGCAGTGTTTTAATTGTAGGTGCCTTACAATACATCAATTATACATTACATTTACTTAGGTTAAGTAAAAATTTAATTTATAAGTTAGGTTACAATTGTATGTAAAAATTGCTTAATTAAAGTGTAAAATTATTACATTAGAAATAAAACAAAATAACATAATATATAAATGTAAATATCATTAACACATTATTTTAAAAATATTATAATAAATTGCAATCTCAAACAAATAGCTTTAATAATGATTAGAAATTCAATTATAAATATTTAATATATAAAATGAGTATCAAATGTAAAAACAATTGAGACTAGACTTCAATATATTGACCTCTGGTTTATGTCATTAACTTAAGTGAAAAAACATTACTAATAATAATACATAATATAATGAATTAATCGATATAAATATAAACTACCCTGTTTAATGTTTCAATATTTAAATTATGACTAAAATCAGTTGACGTATACAACATATATAATGGTTGGTCCCATTGCTTGCACTTAATGACCGATTTTCATATCAGCCAAACCATCAAATAAACCATAATATAGTCGACAATAAAATTTGTCTTAACTAGAGTTGTCGACACTAATCAATGATACGTTAGACGTGAGACAATGGTATTTGTTTGTTGTGTGAGATATGACTGCCGGCTATTGACTGTTGCTTAAGATTGCGACCGTTAGTTATGGCCAGTTGTGATGTGATAATAAGTTGACTGGCACCACTTCTGGTACTACCAGAGCTGGTACCGCAACAAAATCGGCCACAACAGAGTCGGGTCCACGAATCGATTGTTTTGCCCGACCAGATCCAAAACCCTGATGTTATACCAACGATCAAACACATGATATATTTGAGCAAAAATATTGAATAGTATGGCAATTGAGATGTTTCAGAGCACCGGCAGTTATGTTGGCGTTGCCATACATCGCGATAATAGTACTCATATAGATGACAGCCCACAACTATAACCCCGGATACTATATACAAGACTGAGAAGAAACCAATCCTAAGCATTAATTTCTCTAATTTATCGGCTTTTACTCTCTCCTGTAATAACTTTCGTATACGAAATAGCGATACAAAACCGGTCACTAAAAACAAGAGGCCAACCATTATGTATGTGCAATACGGGACAATCACATATGTCATCAAATTATTCAGATCCTGATTCCCAACATAGCAAACACCAGTGAATGRATCGCCATCAATAGCACCGACTCCTAAGATTATCACTGCCTTTATGGTTGGTATAAACCATGCAAACAAATGGAAATATTGAGAGTACCCGGCGATACCCTCATTAGACCACTTGAGTCCGGCTGACAAAAACCAACTGATTGTTAGGATAACCCACCAAACATTGGCTGCCATCCCAAAGAAGTAAATCAAAAGAAATACAACGACACATAGTAGTGGCGCCGGACCTATCCTTTGATATCTTATGAGGGAACCATCACATGCTATAGATTCTTGGCCTACATATGACCTGATTATATACCCGATTGATACCATTAAATAACAACCTGACAAAAATATAATGGCTCGCTCTGGGTATCGGAAGCGCTCCATATCAATGATAAATGTTAGCACAGTTAGACTCGTACAGACACAGCATACGACTGCAAAAACGTTGATCCAAAAGACGGCCATATCTTTCTCTGATTTAGTAAAGAAGACACCTTTGCACGGAACCAAACAATTGGCTATTCCTCCCGTTTCCACTCTATTGTTGAAACGTCTGTCCATCAAGTCTTGCGCCAAAACTAGTGGATGTCTGCATTCGCACTTACAGTCATTTGGTGTGATACCAGTGTTTGAATTAATGCCCGAATTTGCAGTTCTTGAGAATTGGTCGCCTCTGTCTCTGCCTTTAGTTATTGGTCTGCGATTGGTTGGAACCGTTACTTTTTCTTTTACTGAATTGGTATTCATTGACGACGATTCATCTTTATTAGGGTTTGTTATAATAGGTTTGGAGGAGAGTTCGCGATTGTCTTTGAGAGTCGCGCCTTAAGATTAATGATAGACTCGTTTATTATAATTATCTCAAATGGTGTCAATACATGCAATAGTGTGTATGTATAGCTAAGACATACCTTCTTTAGAGTCCATACAAAGTATCTGCTTATCGCCATAAACAGGCAGATCATTGCAATCCATGCGCTCAGGCCATGAAAAGCCATAATGTCTCATAATGGGAGCGCATCCCTGTTTCTGTAAACACAATATACACCTTAAGTCTGTTTTAAGTGATAATTAACATCAAAACATACGGCTCTTTCGCAAACAGATCGACAGGCGAGTAGTCTTCCCTTATAGTCATCCATACAAATGGGTGCATACATAGAGCACAGGAAGAAACGCAAATCATCCGAGCATTGAATCTCAACTAATGGCCAGAATTGATGAACTAAAAGGATTCACAAATATATGTTTTCATTGATTTATACCTTAATAATAATAATACTTATAATMAAAAAAGAAACAAAATTATATATAAATAATGATAAATTGTGTATAACTTTTGTGTATATACTGTATATATATATATATATATATAAGTCCAGACCTAATAAACWGAGTTTTAGAAAATTTCAATTTAGTTAATGCTTTCGCAAAAAAAGATTAATCGTTAAAAATAATGGTTTAAATATTTTTGCTTATTATTAATGATTATATAATTCTTACGCTGTATAGTAATATTTATTTTTATTTGACTAAAAACTAAAAACATTAGCAAATGTTTTAGAAATTCAAAWTATTCCTAAAATATACTGTATGTATAAAATGCTAAATGAAAAATGTCAATTTGATGGCAACACATTTATGATTGTGCATACAATATAATAAAACATTGTTAAAATGATTAAATTTATGTGAATTTAACATAAAATATTTTTAATGGTAGTATTATTGTGTCGGCAAAAAAATATTGTATAAAAAGTAATAATAGGTGTTTAAAAAACATCCATTAGTATAGTATACAAACTACTTGATTGTGTGTTCAATATAATGCATTGAATTGTATGTAAAATTTAAAAATGAATTAAGCATTTGTTGAGCCATTGAATCGGCATTTATTCAATATATTTAGGTTTTGTGCAAATTGTGAATCAATTGAGTGCTAAACTCAATGGGGGTTCGGGTTTCATGAATTGAAGGTTTTTACAAACCATCACATAATCATTGTTCAAACTCTCCATAAAACGGCATATATTATTGTATACAACTTTAAACGACATAATTCACTGGTCTATTGAAACTGCTGTCCCTTAGTTATATAAATGACCCACAATTTTGGCAATTTATCTACAAAATCCTTATAGAGTATATATATATATTAAATTATTGTTATTTATTATTTATTTATTTTTGTAAACAAATTGCACTAAAAAATAGTTGATAAATGATTGTCACAAATATGAACACTCATTAATGGCATAAACGATTTGCTTTATGAATAAATAGATATCTTCTTATATTAGATTATTATATAAAAAAGTCTATTATGTTTGGTCACGACATCATTGGTACACACATTAGAGACATATGATTAAAGCAATTGTTGACTTAACTGTCAACAGTTTTATAGTTTCATATCTAAATTATCTAAATTTTAGTTTCACTAACTGTAAAACTGAGATCAGCGCTAAAAATATTTTTTAGTAAATAATTTAACAAAAAAATTGGCAAATGATTTATGTATAGAAATATAGTAATGTTTAGAAAAGCAGTGAAACATTTGCCTGTACTCTAACAGCTAATCCCTATACATACTCGCCATCCCTCGCAACAGTCTATCATTTTATATGACATTCCCCTCTTAACTGTCTGTGCGGTTCACACCTCCAGACACTGGAAGCCCTCATTCATCACTGTTTGGCCACTACTATACACTACTACACTATATGACTACTTATATGCCAACTATTTCAGTGCAACCAAATGCCTACAAACGTCGATAATGTCTGTCATTGCGACTGTTGTTTGCATTCAATCAAAATCAAGTTTTCTCTAATAATTACTGATATCATATCATATCATATCATATCTCTATTTATAGCAAATATTATGCAAAGTTTGCTTTATTTGCAAATAAATAAATGATAAAAAATGCAAATAAAATATATTTATTGAAAACACATTATAGGATAATATGATATAAATTGAATTGAATAGAGTTGTGATACCTTCGAGACCAGCTTCCTCTTGAGTGTCGTGATGGAACTGGTTTGGCATAATTGTGTTGTTATATCCGATTCCCCGACACATAGGAATACTAATCTCTTCACACCTATTCTTTTCGGTACCCATTGTGTGACCCGATGTCCACATTAACATCAAAAACAAAGTAAACAATCGTTTGATACCAATTGAGTTAATATCACAATCAATGTCTGCTCTCCAATGCAGACAACCATCAGATTTGTTCGTTTTGGCCATCATTTAGCACTTTGTGATACTTTTATATCATTAAACTATTGATTACCAAAATTCATATCCAAATAAAACAAGTGGTGTCTAACCAGTCATATCACTGCTTAAGACAACTCAAACAAACAATAGCTTTATTGAGATATTTATTTGAAGTGAGATTTACTTAAAGTGATTGCTTTTGTCTTCAGAGATGAGATTTTACTTAGAGATGATATATCAAGAGTTGATATCATTTTTACTGACAATCAGTCACTTCATTGAACATTGGTTTTAGTTATTGGAAAACATAGTAAAGACAGTGAAGACAACTATTCCTGAATGTCATCTTCATGTCTGCCAATGTCTGCCACATATATCTACCAATGAATACAGTGTTAGAGTTGAAGACACGACTCTCACCACAAAATCAATACAACAACTATTGATTCAAATTGAGTCAATCGATAGCAAACACATCTCCCACTTCTTCATCAGTGTCTATAGTATAGCATCAGTAGTACTGTTGCCATCTGTTGGCACATCCATCGCATCCCAACACTTGAGACAAACACTACTTGTCTTTTGTTATCAATTTGTTTGTCAAATACTGACAATTGAGTCAAACTTTTGTTAAAACTTTTTTTTACTAAATTTTTATATAATTATAATTTTTTAATATTATATTTGATATATAATTAATGATTACTTATATATCACACAATGTTTTACTAATAAATATTTTTAATTATGTTATTAATTGATTTATAATTTATTTAGATTAACTAAAAGTTATTACTATTTTATTATTAACCATTTGATCCAATGGTGAGTCGGGCCTTATCTTTAGCCAACCATACTCTGTCTTCTGACAAGTTGTCGGGTGTTCCGCGACTTATAGAAGATTTGCATAAATTATCCGAAGACAGGGAAACAACAGACTTATTGTTTTTAGTGGCGAGAGAAGAGACACCTCTTTATGGACACAAAATCTTATTCAGAGCCCGGTTTGCATACATTTCCTATTGTTTTTATTAATCATGTATTTAAATATTTTCAAATTCAATGGATAGTTGTCTCAGTTTTCAAAACCTCAAGAGGGCGGAGGTCTGCAAAGTTCCCGGAACTACTGTATCGCCGGCACCTCCGGGAACACCTAATCTCATATCAAACTCGAGGTTATAATACATTAGTTTTTATTTGCAAAAAAAATTGTTAACAATTTAAATGATTCTTATAATTATAGTATCATTCGTTGGCCGCAAGCAAATGCTGATGTGGTTAGAGAAGTATTCCTCTATGTCTATACAGGAAAGGTAGTGATTATTCACCAAAAATTACTGTTTTTATACTTTATTTCAATTGTCTATAACAATGTACTGTAGATTGCATTACAACATTGCAATGTATGCGAGACATTGGCCATCGCTGGTGAATTAGGTCTTGAAGAACTAATTGATTCTTCTCAAGAGTACATTCAAAGCTCAATTTCAGTGCACAACGCCTGCTCTTTCTTATCGTCGGCCATCAAACTGGAGACCAGATTACCCGGTTTGGTCTCTTATATAATAATTATAAATAATCAATAACTTTACGGCATTTATATATCTATATTTGGTTTGTTTGTTAATTTAGAGAAAAGTGATTTAATTAAATTCTGTACCTCTTTTGTCGGTGAAAATGCCATCGAATGTGTCAAAACGTAACTTAAATTTTTATAAATTATCGCTAATTTTTAATAATATTTTAATCACATTTGTAATGTCATTATAGGCCAACATTTCTTAATTTATCGAAAGAGGCATTAATTCATTTGGTTTCATCAGATTATGTAAATATAATATTATTTAGTATTTTAAAATGTATTTAAAATTATTGTTTCAATATTACGGTAGTTAGCTTTAGAAGAGGCGGATGTATTTAGAGCAACACTCAATTGGGCCAAACATAAAGCCGGTAATAACAATATATGATTAAAAATAATAGTAAATTGTGTATAAAATGTATAACAAAATATCTATGTTTCCAAATCAGGTGTTTTACAGCCAACCCATCACTGGACTGAGGAAGAGAGGGCTCGTATATGTCAGGTATTCATTGTTGTTGAGTAATAATTGTAATAATTTTATGATAATAAATAGTAATTTATTATATAATAGCAATTGTCTGGAGTTATAAATCATATCAGAATTCTTCTAATCGATAGCCAAGTGTTTGCTGAAGAAGTAGAGCCGACGGGTGCGGTTCCCATAGAGCTATCACTTGAAAGATATCGATTCGCAGCCCTACCCAACAAATTTCAGAACTCGGAGGACAAGAGAGTACAGCCAAGAATATCTTTGAGACTGTTTCAGGGCTCACAACTCTTAAGTGGTGACAAAAGTCAGTTTCAATCCATACTCAATCACTGGTACGGCTGTCCAAAACAAACGTGGAAACTAATATATCGGGCCTCAACTCATGGTTACTCAGCCGATGCATTCCATCAGTACTGTGATGGCCAGTCACCAACATTTGTATTAATATTGGGTTCGAGCGGTCACTTATGCGGCGGTTTTAGTGATGTTCCGTGGGCTAAGACATGTGTCACTCGAGGACGATATATGGCCTCAGATAAGGCTTTTCTCTTTACTTTACTCAACAGTTCAGACATTCCGCCGACAAAGTTCTCAATCGTCAAGAAGATGTTCGCCATCGCTCACCACTCAGATTACGGGCCAGTGTTCGGTGCGGGCGCTGACCTGTCAATTGCCAACAATTGCAATACCAATTGCGAGTCCTATTCAAACCTTCCGCACACCTATGAGGGCGACAACGCTTCCAATACTGTGCTTATGGGTCACTATAACTTCACGGCCATCGACTACGAAGTCTTCACGACTATCACCTGATAAATACATTCATAGATTTGTCAAACAATTATCAGATGTATCGGTGCTATCGGTGCTAATAAATGCAATACAAATGTTAATCCGTTTTTCACTTAATAAATGTTTCTTTGACTTTGACTTTGTGTTTGTGTTGACATTCATTCACTTATTGATGGGTCAGTTGTTTGACTCAATTGACATATGATTGCCATATGATTGACATATGATTGACATATGATTGCCATATGATTGACATATGATTGACATATACTGTATAATAGTATGACTTGTGTTGTGTTAATGTATTGTAAACACACATCAAATTTAACATTAATTATAAGCCATTTATATGTTTAATATAATAGACTTGTTTAGTATAAACTTAACATTAAATAGTATTTTGTAAACAAATGATATCATCTGATTGGTTGTTAATTGCAATCAATTGTCTGCAATGCTATTACTCTATAACAATGAGTGCAATCATGTATTAGTCAGTAATAATCCATTGTTTTCTAACATAAGGGGCACTCAAAACATGATTCAATAGTAATGTTATATATGAGTACTGTTATCCGCATTACAACACTTGGAGTTGTCATTCAATACATTGATTGACTGTTTGCTTGACTCGAGTGTCTCGAGACGTGTCAAGCAATTAGTCGTTTAGTTTTAATTGCATTTTAATCATCACTTGAATTGATCCACACTTTCATTGCTTTCAAATGATTGCATAAAATGTAAGTCACTATTGGTTTGCATTTTTTAATTATTATTTCTTTGCCTATAAATTGATTGTCACATAAATGACTATTAATTTTGTTATTTAATTATTTTTATTTATACTAAATATTTGATAAATTAAGTGAAGAATTGGTCGACTAATGATGTGATATATATGAGAGACAATCAAATGACAATTATTATCACATTTCATATCAAATAAATACATGAAATGATTGGTCCAATTGATTAAAAACATATCATTATTTGTAATCATAATTTCAATTCAATTGATTGAATCATTATTATTAGCGAAGTGTTTGAATGTCTTCATTTCTACACAACAAGTACTGGTCAACAAAGACAAGTAATTATTACCAAAGATTACCAAAGATTAYCATTGATTTCTTATATCTTTATATCTGTCATATTAGAGATGATTTAATTTATTAATATTTTTGTTATCACAGAAAGCGAAAAATGCGATCAAAAGTCATATTCAAAGATTCAAAAATTAAGAAAAAGACTCGGATTAAGACTCGACAAGTTGTGTGAGTTTACTATAGTTTGATTGGTTTGTTATTTATCTTAATTGTCTAATTAATTAATTAATTTATTAATTTATTATGATTTATAGCTGTCTCGAGACAAGAGTTGCCAGAATATCACACAGAAAGTGGTGTAAGTTTTGCTTTATTTTTATTACCGGTATATTTATTTGAAAAGATTTTTTATTAAAATTAATATTTGTTTTGAATTGCAAAGAATGTTGAGATTACGAAAATATCAATGAATGGTAATTTATATGATAGCAATGCATCAAATTCAAGACAAACACAAAATGGTATTATAATTATTGTTACTTTTATTGTACTTAATATTAAATTTTATTACAGTAAATGATTCCAATGACAACTCGATTAATGTTACTGAAAGCCCTCCAAAACCTCCTCCGCGGACCACTTCTTGCAAATCAAATAATAATCAAAGCGACCAAAACTTAAATAAAAAATCAATTGAAGAGATTATTGAATCAAAACAGGATTTAAATAAAAATAATCAAAATGACTGCAATACAGAAAAAACATCAAAAATCCCTAATTTTATGAGACATTCAAAACATTTGTTTTCAAAAGTCAAAACTCGTCCTAAATCTGAAATATTTACGACCAATTCGACTGCATTTTCTGTACCCATCGCTAAGTCTAATCGCTATTCAACCATTGATTTTACTGTAATTATTATTTAATACATTACTTCTAACATATTTACACATAATTTAATTTTATTATATTTAATATTATTAGTCTAATGGACTGGCATTCGGACAGTTGGAGTCATATGTAAAGTTAGATCAATTGGGAGAGGGATCATATGCTACTGTTTACAAGGGTTACAGCAAGTATGTCGATGTCTATAATTGTCTATTGATATTACTGTTTAGTGGTAATTAATTTTTAAATTATATTTTAAAAAGTTTGACCAATAAAATAGTGGCTCTAAAAGAGATACGTTTGCAAGTGGAAGAGGGAACACCATTTACAGCCATAAGAGAGGCATCACTACTTCGTGGTCTAAAACACGCAAATATTGTGACACTTCATGATATTATTCATACAAAAGATTCGTTGACTTTTGTCTTTGAATACGTGGACACAGATCTTAGTCAATATTTAGAGCGACATCCGGGGGGTCTAAACCATAAAAATGTTAAATTATTTTTATTTCAACTTTTTCGTGGACTTTCTTATTGTCACGAAAGACGTATTTTACACAGAGATCTGAAACCACAGAATCTGTTAATCAGTGAAATCGGCGAATTAAAACTCGCAGACTTTGGTATTTTATATTATTTTAAAGTTGTTGTTGTTTTTAATTGAAAATTATTGTTTTTAATTGATAATTAGGTTTAGCCAGAGCTAAATCAATACCATCTCACACTTATTCACACGAAGTGGTGACACTATGGTATAGACCACCTGATGTTTTATTAGGTTCAAGAAATTATTCCACATCACTTGATATATGGTTTGATTATAATAAATAATTGCAAATATTATACTAATTTATCGGTAATTAATTATTCACTTAGGGGTGTTGGGTGTATATTTATTGAAATGGTTTGTGGTGGTCCCACTTTTCCTGGTGTAAGAGATCCGTCCGATCAATTGGACAAAATATGGAGAGTCTTAGGAACTCCTTCTAATGATTATTGGGATACTTTTGATTCTTTACCTAATCATAAAAAAGGTATTATTAATAAATTGATAATTAAATTATTAATTAAATTTTTATTATTAATTTAGGACATAATATTACATATAAAAGTCAACCGTTGTCTCAAGCATTTTCAGCTCTATTATCAGTTACTTTTGGAGAAGAATTAGCAGAAATGTGCCTTAAATTAGAGCCTAAGTTTAGAATATCAGCAAAGGATGCCCTTAAACACAAATACTTCAGTGATTTACCGAAACAAATATTTACTTTAGATGATAGTAAGTAATAATAATATTATTATAATTAAATAATAGATAAAAACAATAATTGTATTTTATAGCCATTTCAATATATCGTATACCTGGTTGTATACTTCATCCCGAAAACCATAATCATACCGCTAATGTTGTGAAAGCTGCGGCTAAATTGCGCAGATAGTGACTACTGGTCTAACCCATCAGACAATGGGATTAATTGGCAATAATACAGCTTTAAGTCATTTGTTGTTGAAAACAAATCCAAAGATATGTCAATGTATTTATTAAATGGCAATATTAAATGTTTACATTAGACACTATTTTTATCTGCATTTATTGCAAATTATCATTTTGTTTATTATTAATATATTGAATCTCATATTGAATAGCAATACATTCCATATTTATTTATTTATTTATTTATTWATTAATGTGATTTCTTATTTAATTTATACTCATTTTTAAATGTTATTTTATTTCAAAGTATTTTATTTTATTTCAAATGTTTGTAAAAACTGTGGTATTTCTTCTAAATGTTTTATATATGTATTTCTTATAAAAAATATAATTATATTTAAAAGATCTAATCAATTAAATTATTGTGCAATTAATAGATATGTCTATTTGTTGAGCCTTTAATGCATTTAAATTTTAATAAAATGTATATAAAATATTAATCAATAGTTTGTTATATTTATTATACTATTTTTAAATAATTAATGAAAGCATTGAAATTAATAGAAAATATATTAGAATAAGAATATTCTGTGAATTGAATATTCTTTATATAATAAAAATAATAATCATTTGTCCGATAGATTGCATTAATGTTTGTTTTGCAAAATATACGTTAAATTTATGAAAATATGATTAGAAAATCTCAAATTTAGTCCACTTTTAATATTTTTTATACTATTTATTATATCGTCGATCAAATGTCCCCTAATTTGTACGATATATATGAATAAAATAAAATTATTGATTATTTTTATCAGTAAAGTTCGTAACAAAAATAGTTAAAATGAAACCCTATTTCTGTAATTAATTATTTTTAAAATAATTTTCTATTAATTGTAATTTAATTTTTAGTTAATTATAGATATTTTAATATTATTGCATTTAATTGTAATAATAAAATTGTGTTAAACTATTGGATAATAAATGAATAGAAAGATAGAGATTGAGTTAAATGTAGTGAAAAAGTGTACGAAATGTGTGAACAGTTAATGAGTGGCAAATCAGGTGATCTGTGGACTCATTGACTGACTATAAGGTAATAGAGCTGTGAATGTGTTGTTGTGTTAATTGACTGTTAGATTGAGTACTAAAACCATTGCATTCAAAATCAATTGATTCATAATTTATATGATTTATCACAACTTTATCATCAATTGATGGCAAATATCAGTAAGTATTGTATTATTTAATAATTTATTGTTTTAGTATTATTTGATATATAGTTTGATATCATATATAATGATTGTATGATATATTAAATTGAAAACAGTTTATAGGATATTATAAAAGTAAACAAATATATGATATGATTGGTGTAAATATAGTTAAACTAAATTGATATACAATTAAGGATTTTGTTTGTTTTCAAACTAATAATTTGTATTTATTTTTGTTATTAAACATAAAACTAGTGTAATATATAAGCGATAAAATAGACGAAATCTACTTATATATCAACCATTTATTTGAAATAAAACATTTAATTGAAAGACACCAACAATTTGGCAAATATATGATGTGATCAATTGAGGTGATGATCATCATCGGTGACCATCAAAATACAAACACTATTTTTAACGATTAGACACTATTAGAGTGCAATCAATCAATCAATGATTATATGAATGAATCAATAGATTTGGACACAAATTATATGTCATTTGTAATCAAAGTGTTGATAACAAACATCACTACATATGCTTAAAGCGATTCGCAAACATTTAAAGGCATCTAAAAAGTAAGTAATTAATTAATATTTTATATTTAATACATTAATGTTATATTAATTTTTATTATATATTATAATATATGAGATGTAGTCATAAATTAGTTTATAATGTTTATTTAAAAGCATATACAGTATAGTAGTATTTATCGATATTGATTTTGCTTATAAACATTTATTAGTCTACATAATAATAATAATTTAATGTCATATAAATTTCAATGTTATGTTTTTGTTGTGAATTTACTTTTACTTTATTATAATTTATACAAAATTATTGATTTTTCATTGTATTATAAATTATAATATAATAACAGTTGAATTTAATATTGTGTGCGAAAGTCAATCAATTGTTAATGTTATTGAATGTGACTATCATTGAACAGAAACAACAATTTTATGCAATACATGAAAATCAATAGAAAAGATGATCAGTTGGACAACAATTGGATTCAAATCAGTTATTTGGATGACTTGACCAATGATTTGGTCGACAATAGTCTCGTTTATCGCAAGGATTGCATTGATTTAATTCCCTATAAAAGCAATAATATTAATAATTATTATCAATCGTATAATAATTATTATAATTATAACAATGAAAGAGAAGTCAAAAAGGATTATAAGAAAAGAGAAGAATCTCATAGCAAGAGATCGACAAATGAGACAAAAATCCAAGAAATTTCAGATCTGGAAGCGATTCAACTAAATAGACAACATTTACATGCCTTACATCGCTTTCGGCGACATAAGAAAAGAGGTCTATCATTGTTTAATACTATGAATGTTAACATAATTAAGTAATTAATGAATTATTTATACAACAGGTATAGCGTCAGACAAAGATGTAGTCATAAGCTTTTCACCAAAAACTCGACTTTCAATTGTAAATAAACGTGAATTTTATTACCGTTTTGGTAAAGAAGAGAAGGAAGCAATCGCTTGTTTTGACTTCTTGAATGATATTTGTTGTGATATTAGTGATGATAACGATTCCAATGAGTTCAACGATTGTCACTCCAATGATGGACAATATATGGATAACTTTGATACGTCATCTGAACTGAGCGTTGTCTCTAAAGAGGTCCCCGAAGAGACTGTTTCGTTGGGCCGATCATACAGTCAGTTGTCTTTAAGTGATTCATGTGTTGAATATTACGATTCTAGTGATTAATGTATGAATAATTATATTTTTAATTTAACCAAAAAATATTTTATGGCATTTGTTATCATATTTGAGAGTCTATTAAAATTAATAATATTAATAGTTTGAATATAATTATGATTTAATAGAAAGAATCTTAATTAGCATTGATTCCCATTACTTAATATTAAAATATTTTAATATTTATTGAACTTTTCAGTTCTTAAATCATCGCTTTATTTATAATAGTCTTAATTTTTAGTTATAAATCATTGATTTATTTTTTAAAAAAAATACAAAATATATTCCTATGAGAAATACAATTGTTATATAAATAATAGTACTAAATATGTAAAAAATGAGATTTTATTATCACAAATAAAAACTAAAACATTATATTAAAGTGTCAATCGTTTTCATCAAAAGAGTTTCTACTTTTAATTCTTTGTCTTTTGATTTTTGAAAGTATTTCGTAAGCGTTTTGTATTTCGATAAACATTTCTTGTGCTCTAATCTTTTCATTTGGGTCTTTATGTTTGTCCGGATGCCACTGTCGGGACAGTCGCCGATATGTTGACGTAATCTCTTCTTGAGTGGCGGTTTGCGGCAAATTTAATACTTTAAGAGCATTGGACTCTCCCTGCGGGTCGAGAGCTGAAACTATTTCACGCCAGAGACCACTCCATCCATGGATTTGGATATAAAGTTTAAGCTCATCGAAAACTTTTGTACATTCCTTCCAAATCGGAGATTTCAAGAAGTTTTTGGCCGCATCTCTACATTTAATCTCTTCTTCATTCTTGTCAACGACTGAACAATTAAAGTAAAACCAAGAACTCCATAATGAGAGGTATATTAAGCCAAAGAATATTAAGATTGAGATTCTTCTACAAAGAGATCGTCGTTTTGGAGGAGTTCTTCGCCATTGTTTAGAATAGTTATTAAAGAAGTAGTTTGACGACAAAGATGTCCAAAAAACAACATTTTGACTAAACAGGTAAAGAGGGGCCGTTAGATAGGCGCCGATTAGAGGACCTTTCAATGATCCCCGTTGTCGGCCAACATTGCCCACAGCGTACACACCGACGGCAACGGCAAATGGAGCTAAAACTATAGTTAACAATGTTATCCAATAACTATCTTCAGAAAATAGTTCAATAGGTATTGCACTGACAACCAAATAGCCTAAGATATCGGCGATGATGATTGTGGCCGACGCTCGGATATAACCTGTCGATGGTTTCGCCTCTTTGCGCATCTTTTCGGCCAATATTTCCAGATATTTAGGATCATTGTTGGCGTCCTTTACGTACTCAGGAATCCTCCAGAGGTCACGAACCCAACCGCATCCAAAATAACCACCAAAAGTCATCCACATTAAGAAGCTATGAATGTCACGATTCAAGTAAAACTGATGCAAACCAAAGAGTCCGAAGAATAGCCATAAAAAATAAGTGACAAACAAACTCTTTGCCATCACTTTGACATCAATTGATTAATTGACACCAACTTTGATTGAGATAATGAATGCAACAAAAGTAATCAATTGTGTGATTAATCACTATTTAACAAATGATACGACACGTGGACTTCAATAACAAACAATTTTTTCACTAAAAAATAATAATTAATTATTTGCTAAACCATTTGATTCAATGTTTTTCAATACATATATATATATATAGACTATAATTAAGTGAACAAATGTTTCGATGACTTTGTAAAACAAATTAATAAAACTATAGAAACGCTTAACGAGTCATACCTTATGTTAATATTATAATAAATACAACTTTCACTCTATTTGTTGTTATTTGTATGAAACAAATGTTTTTATTTTCAATTAACAGCAAAACTTTTGCATTGCTTTTCAATTGCTGTCAATAATAATACTAATAATACCTGTATTACAGTATATTGTTGTGTATTATAACCTGACTTTACATTAGTTTGTAAAGCACTGGATGTTTGAAACATAACCCCAACTGATGTCACACTCTCTCTCTATACAAGCATTTGATTGAATGTTCAACAAAATAGACCACAATTTATGCAACAAATAATAATTATAACAATTAATCAAATTATTACAGTATTTTACTAATAATTCATAGTATTATTCAAATTATAATTTTATGTTATGTTTGATTTGTTGCCATAAATCTAATATAAAAATTGAATTAATTTACAAAATTGTCACAAAAAATGATAAATTAATTGAAAATGTTTTGATAGTATAGTTGAGTGTTGTATACAATACTGTATAATGAGTGCAATGTTTGTATGTTTTGATTAATCAAAACATTTGTCAAATGTTTTGATTTTTGTTAACAAACGATAACATCAAATGAAATGCAATTTTTAAAAAATGTTTAATATTTTTATTGAATTAATTGATTAAATTTGTTTATATTTATACACATTTAATGTTAGTTTATATAATAATGATTATAACGACTGTTAAAATGACTTATTGTTGACAAATGAAGTGATACTCATTTTGAGACCTAATTTAGTGACAAATATTTTTTAATTTATGTTTTGTTTAGTCTATAATTAAATGACAAAAAAATTGTTATGAATTTTCAACGACTGTTTCAAGATTTTAATTCAAGGTATGATTATTGAGATAATAATTAATTAATTAAACAATTGGTTAATATATGATATATTATGTATTAATTGATATCTTTTAGCAAATTTATCGTATATTTATGTTTATTGATATTTTCAATACTATTTGCCTTACGTCTGGACAACACAATAACCATCTCTTTTTGGATTGTCTTCACTCCCCTCTGGTTCTGGAAATGTCTTGTTATAACGGGAGCCATCATTGGGACAGTTGTGTGGATTCGTAATCCGGAGTATCGATTGTCTGACAGTTCATACATCCACTTCAAGTCAATGCTGATCAGTCTTTCGCTTCAATTATTGTTATTAATGTTTGAGTTATTAGTTTGTGATAAACTGGAGTCCGGAAGACATTACTGGATATTAGCCTTTATTCCTCTGGTCTTCATATCATTGTTATCGATAGCGGTGTGCATTTGGTCGCTCAAGAATGACAGGGCCTTTGAGATGGAACTCTTTTGTTCAGTAAATATATTGCAGTTTATATTTATCGCATTACGTATGGATCGGTTTATCACCTGGTCTTGGGTTTTGGTTTTGGTGCCTCTTTGGATACTTCTATGCCTCGCTATTATTGGTGTCCTCTACGCACTCATCTTCGCAGCCATACTTCTGCGGACACCTGAAATAGCTGCCGAACAGCGCCGAGCGAGTCTTCATTCAGCCATTTCTTATTCACTCATTGTGTTACCACTTCTGGTCTTTTTAGTACTTTTATCCAATAAACTGGATTCACTTCAAAACTCCAGTTCACCACAAATGAACTATTTTTCCACTTGTATTCCCCTATATTTCACTTTTGCTATATTATTATGTCTATCATTTGGCAATAAAGGGGGAAATTTATGTAAGTTTATCAATAGATAGTTATAATTACCATAAATATTAATATTGATATATAATTGTATAAAAGGGTGGTTCGGAATGCGTAAAGATTTTTGTTCATTCCTGCTGTCCATCTGTCCGTGTCTTAGAGTTTATGGCAATATATCTTATAATTTACATTTCAATACAAACATCGCATCGACCGCTCATCAAAATGACGGCTCAAATGATATGACAAACATCACAACCCAGACATCCAAGAGTGTCATCACTCGACAGCCAAAAAAGTTTATTATACCTCATGTGAGCATTGAGTCTCCCGATTGATTGATTTAACGCAACAACAACTGTCCCATTATTTTGATGTTCACTTCCAATATAAATGAAATTATTTTGTGACATAAATTAATAAATTTGAATGAATGCATATATTAATTAATAATAAATTATATACAATATGTAATATATATACAGTATAATGATGTTATATATAAAGTCTATTGACTGGTTTTACAAAAAATACCGGTATTTCAAATTGTAATAATTAAAATTCAAATTTATTGTAATAATTAAACTCATAATTGTTTTCATTTGTTTTTTTCATAATTTAATAAATATTATGTAATAAATCATATTATTTTATAAAATTAACTTTCAATCTTAATATAACAAATTGTAAACATGTATTAAGTAATCAAATAATGTTATAAATTAAGTCAATGAATGTATGAATTAATTTGAAAAATATTGAAATTTAATTAATATTTTTAAAATGATTAAACAATTAATTATTAGTAACGATGGGGTCAGCGGTCACTACGGGATGGCATTACAGCTGTTATTACAAAGTTATGACAAACAGTGAAGCAGTCATTCATTCATACATTCACTCAAATGTTGACGTTATGTAAGCAATGCGTGAATCGTATGTCAAGTAATGAATGAATACATTGAGTGACAGTTTGTCGACAAATATAATGATTTTGTTTACAATTTGTTATCATTTAATGATTATCTGTTTGAATACAATTTGAGTCCATTTTGGTGGACGTCTTAATGGATGACTTAACCATTAATTGTAACACCAATTTGGCCACAGATTACGTGGTCATCAGTGACACCAACGATGAACACAATAATGACAACAATGGTGTCAATAATGATCTAAAGGATAGAAATGATTTGTTCATCAAATGTCATCAAAAGATATCAATTGATAGCACGGATGATGTGTCGGACAAGAAGGACATCGATCACGAATGGCAAGAGATCGGCAACAAGAGTCTGACAATGAAAGTGAGTCCCAGTGAAGACATGTCAAACCAGTTCTTCGCTTCGGGTCCTTTCTATGCCATTGATGACCACAACGGCAACAGTAGAAGACATTTGATGGACACAAGAGAAATGTCTGACAACTGTAATGTTCTCTACGCAGAAATGCCTCACAATTGCAATGAAGACCTGACAGTCAAAAATTTGGGTCACAATCACACATCTGCTGACTTAACGACCTGTTGTACCAATGGATCCATTCGTAGCCAAAGATCGAGTAAACATCTTGTGGTTGATTCTAACTATCAGTTTGTGTGTCTTAATTGTTGTTCGCCTATTAGTATCAGTGAAGAAGTATCTCAATTAAATGATGACTTATATTATATATCGAGTGATAACTCGAGACCACAACATAATCATCGAAATGAAGATTTAAGTAGTGAAGAGATTAATGACATTTCGTCTCCAATTATGTTGAAGTTTTGTAAAGAAAGTATTGAATCAATGAATAATAATATTAGTGATGAATCCAAATCAAGCAATTGTATTGAAAAGCTATCTAATTATACGACAGTTATTAAGCCGAAAGCGGTTCGGCCACAGTTGACACCGATTGGTCAGCAAATCAGTGGTCATCATTCAGACAGCAATATAAATGGCTCGCAATCGGGTCGATCTCTTCCGACATTTTCATTTCATGGCTCGACAACAGTCTTATCTGATAATAAAGACGAATCAGCTTTCACTCAAATACCCCGTAGAAGATCCAACTCTGAAGCCACCCATCATTACCAGTCCATTAACAATGATATTCCTTCCAGAAATCGTTACGATTATAACCGTCCTCTTAGACACCAAAGAAGTAAATCAGTTAACAAATCTTATAACAGTTCTGATCAAAGTTTGGCATTTAGTAAATGTCAGGCAATAAGTGATAAACATTTAACTCAAATACAATCCAATAATACAAATATGTTTTCTAAGAATTTTAATACATTGGATGAACAACAGAGAAGTTCATCACAAAAACACTTATCTGAAGAGCCCATTCATATGACACTAGAAGAAGTGAGAAATATATTTTTTAATAGAAATCAAAGCAAACAGATTAAGAGTTCGTCTTTTGGGGTAAAAAATAAATTAAACATTAATAGAGAAGAAGAGAAAAATAATTTTATGAAATCTAAGTCGAAATCGAAGATCAAGTCTGCCATTGAAAGTCTCTTCAGAGGTAAACGCAAGTCTTCATTGCATCTGACTTCGTGTCAACCAAATGATTGTCAATTGATTGGCAAAAAATACACCAAAGACTCTGAAGAATACATTTCGAATAACTTATCAAAAGATAGTTCCAGTCCTTTCACTCACAGAGCTCTTCCTCCACTTCCTAATAATAATGAGTCGTCGGAAAAAATATTGGAAAATAAAAGCAAATGTTTTAATAGAGAGGATGAAGAGCGACAAAAATTTCTCGATTATGCGGCCAGTATTGAGCGCGTCAAAGATGTTGGTATTTCTTATTATATCATTATTTCTATACTAAATATGTTATTAAATTACAGTGCGGTTGGTATTGGGGACCCATTAGTGGGGAAATGGCTGAGAAGCTACTAGAATCAGAACCGTGCGGTTCATTCATAGTGAGGGACAGTTCAGATGAACACTATATATTTAGTTTAACTTTTAAATTGGATGGATTGGTCCGACACGTGCGTATTGAACATGACCAAGGTTAGTGAGTGGGTGTATGTATGGGTGGGTGGGCTCAGCTTCAATAAGATATTCATTTTAATTAATGCTTTTTTATTTCCACTTAAAGGCAATTTCAGTTTCGGTACACTTCAGAAATTCCGGAGCAATACTATCGTAGATTTTATTGAGAATGCAGTCCAACACTCGAGAAGCGGTCGATTTTTGTTTTTTCTCCACCGACGACCAGTTATGGGTCCAATGCGGGTACAGCTATTACATCCAGTCTCACGATTCAAACAAATACAATCACTTCAACACATGTGTCGGTCAGTATTAATATTATGTCCTAATTTACAGCAACTAATAAAACTATTTCCGGTGATTATCCAACAGATTCATAATCTTAAAGCACGTGCGTCGAGATCTCATAGAATGTCTACCATTACCTAAAATGCTTAAAACATACTTAAATACACCGTATTATTATTCAGAAGAATTAGCGCTTATGGATGAAAACAATTCAAACGCAAAGTCGGCACTCGAGCCAAGTCTGTCTCCAAATGCTAGTCATGAGAACGAGTGAAACAATATATTTAATTCATTTATTAAATTTATAATTATTCTGTAATCTCTTTATTTACAGTAATTATATTAATTTTTAATATATTTAATTAAAATAATGATTAAAACATTAAATAACTATTGATATAAAATTAATTACAATATGTCAATGTTGTCATTCACTATCACTCCATCGGTCTGTATAATATTTATCACGTTTAATGTCATCTTCTGATTCACTATTTGGTGTCCAAACACACAACCTTTTGCTGCCACCGCTGAATAACACAAGAGATCCAATATCAAGACCCGTCACACAATTGGGACCTAATGTATTGAATGAGCCCTCTCTGGTAGTGTTGAGTTCATGAACTATCATACCATTAGTTATGTCATAACTGATCACATCGTTTCCTAACAACTTATGTTCACTCGGAGTAAACACATAGTCATCGGTGGCAAAGATCTGACATTTGATAAATGAAACGATTTGTTTGGATTGTTTTGAGCGAACTAATGGACAGTCAAAGTTGATATCAGATGGTAAGAGTTGGCAATGCATTAAATGCCATAAATTTAATTTATTAGATCGTCCTTTAGTTGTTAATAAAGACATATTGTTTTTAGTGAACTGAAGACATGTTATTGGTTCGTATGACACGTTATCACAGCCGACAACAGTAACAGCTTTATTAGGACGTCTTATGTCATAAATGTGTAAATAACCGGAAGAATCGCCAGCAATCAGACAATCAGAATCAAGTGGTGACCACAACACGCGAGTCATGTGATGATTGACTGATCCTGTCTTTGAACAACAAGTGATTTGTTGCAATGAACTTCCGCTACGAATATCTATTAGTCTTATAGTAGATGCCGAACATCCAACTAATGGACATTTATTTTATATGATTAACCGATATTTAAATCATTAAATTAAACTTATATTACTATACCTGCAATTAAAGTGTTTGTGTTTGGACTCCAATCACTCCAATAGACCTTAAGATTGTCGAACTGAAATCTATCGACTCGTTTCATAGCATTCGTGTCAATCACTGTAACTGATTCACCACTAGTCGTGGCAAACATTCCCGTATCGGCCGGAAACCTGTCGTTTGACAAAATCAATAATCAAATATCAATGTTTGGCATTCATATACTATTTCATTGATGAGTTACCATTGACACCGATTGATATATGCATCAACTTTCTTATGAATCACATTATCACAGTCACCGATATTTTGATCAGTTATCTCATTGATGTCAATGAAGCCATCGTTATGACCAACGAGTAAACTAAATATAAATTAAGAAGATTAGAGAAATATAACAAAAATGTTAAATATTGACAAACAATTTATAATCAATTGTATCGATGTCTATATAATTGATAACAGAGTTGTATGTCTTCATATCACTGCAAACCATGGGATGTGTCGACAAAACAGTTGACAATAAGTGTCTGTTTGCCACACATTTGTCAGCAAATAGTTGCCGATTGATCACGTCTTGAGATAAACTCATAATATATTGTCAATAACATCACCGAAATGACTATTCCTAAAAACAATGACAATAATTGATGTGATTGTTGTAACCATTGATGTGATTGTTGTAACCATTGATGTGATTGTTGTAACCATTGATGTGATTGTTGTAACCATTGATGTGATAATCAATTGTTTTGATGCAATCCATCAATCCTTGAGTACTGGACTGAGAGTGCGCTTAAAGTAACTCTCAATCAATGCATTGAATGTTATTATAGTTTAATAAACACTTATTTCTGTCAAAATATTCCTAATATTCTGTTATTTATTAATAAAACAATTATTTATTTGAATTACAAATTAACTCATTGTTAATAAGTAATTGTTTGCAATTATTGTAAACATTTTTATAATGGTATAAATAAATAGTACCTTATTATATACAGTTATTTTTTTATTATATTTATTAAATTATATTCAATATTTTGTTGACATTTAATAATATAAAACTCAAATATTAAGCAATACTATAATGATTTAGATTTTTCTAAAAATATAATTTAAACAGTTTTTCAGTAAACTGAGTCATATTATTATAACTTTATGTTATAAAATATAAAACCTTGAATTGCACTTAACTTTCATATCATATATCTCATTGAAAAAGTAATAAATTTAAAGAATAACTAAAACAAAAAGCCATTAATTGATGTGATATTAGAGATAACTTAAAAATGGCTGAAAAATCGGAGTTTGTTTCACTTGAAGAATGTATCGACAGATGTATTACTAATGAAAATGATATTAAAGAAGTTAAACGTATTTTATATGGAAAACAATTGCTGTCAGTGTTATATGATTTCAATTTTATTTCATATAATTTATATGATATTCTATGAAATAATATTAATATATTTTTTTAAATAAAAAGTGAACTTAACATCAGTGGCGAAGCCCTGGAAATGGCAGATAATAAAGGGTTTGAAATAAAAGGTTATGTATTTGAGGCTAAAAGGGAACAAATAAGGAAACCAAGAAACGTTAGGATTGGTGTCATTCAAAATAAAATAGTTTTGCCGACCACTGCATCAGTGACTGATCAAAGAGATGCCATTCATCAGAGAATTTCTCACATTATAAGAGCTGCCAGTCTTTGTAATGTCAATATAATATGCTTTCAGGAAACGTGGCGTAAGTTTATTGCAATCAAATATATTTATTGTCTGTGATATTAAAAAACAAATTGTTAACTGATCCCAATAGCAATGCCATTTGGGTTTTGCACGCGTGAGAAGTTGCCGTGGACTGAGTTCGCAGAATCGGCGCTAACGGGTCCCACAACTGTCTTCCTTCAAGAGGTTTGTGTTATAACTTAAAATAGATTATAAGAACTAGTAATTGTTGTTTACTTTAGATTGCAAAAAATAACGATATGGTTATAGTTTCGCCTATTTTGGAAAGGGATGAACAACACGGAGATATCATTTGGAATACGGCTGTTGTTATATCAAACACCGGCAAAGTTATCGGCAAAACCCGTAAAAATCATATACCAAGAGTTGGAGATTTTAATGAGGTTTTCTTATTATTTAGTGTTATATTTAGTTGATTTTCAACTAAAACTATATATATRTATATATATTTGACAAAATAGTCGACTTATTACATGGAAAGCACTTTAGGACATCCAGTGTTTGAGACCAAATTTGGAAGAATTGGTGTAAATATATGTTATGGTAGACATCACCCACAGAATTGGTTAATGTATGGACTGAATGGCGCAGAAATTGTATTCAATCCATCGGCAACTGTGGGAGAATTGAGTGAACCGTTGTGGCCAATAGAGGCCCGAAATGCTGCCATTGCTAATCATTACTTTACATGTGCTATTAATAGAGTGGGAACGGTATATCTAAAACTAGTTTATCTATTAATTTAGATTATGTAATAACAGGTTTAAAATAATATAATTTTTAATTTATAGGAAATTTTTCCAAATGAGTTCACTTCAGGCGACGGAAAATCGGCGCACAAAGATTTTGGACACTTTTATGGCTCGAGTTATATCGCATCACCCGATGGCTCACGAACTCCTGGTTTGTCCCGAACTAGTGATGGCCTACTGATAGCTGAAGTAGATCTAAATTTGTGTCGTCAGGTTCAGGATCACTGGGGTTTTAAGGCTAGTATTTACATATTTTATGTTTAATATATTTAAATTTATGATATGATTAAGTCCACGACAATTGCACATCATATACAGTATATTGTATTAAATATGTGTTTAACGAGTAGCTATTATAAAATACATGGATTTAATTATATCATTATTTAAGATAAAACTTTTGATTAAATTAATTTATCACAAATTAGATGACTCAACGATTGGAAACATACGTTAATGAACTCCAAGAAGTAATTAAACCAGATTTCAAGCAAAATATCATTTGTGAAAATAAATAATAATTTTTTTTATTATTTTATAAAATAAATTTTCAGTATTAATTATAAATATATATATATATATATATATATATATATACTGAATAATTGAAATGGCAATATATACTCTACTATAGGTATAGGATAAGGTCAAGTATAGGTATATATTGTATTTTTTGACTTTAATTACAAATAAAAATTTTATGCAAACTTTATTTAAATTTTTATTAATGATAAATTAAAATTTAAAAATGATGTTTTTATTAAAATCATTTTAGAAATTTGCAAATTAATATAAAAATGAAGAACCGGATGAAATGGCTGAGCCTTCTTGTGGTTGAGCGCTAAAACTTTGTCTTTTTCTTTGGTAATAAAGTATTGCTAATAGTATAGCAATTAGTAAAAGTAAAGTTATAGAGACAGCAACCATAGTATAAGCTAAGGTAGCGTATGGCCGACCCTTATTAGATAAGGGCTGTACTATAGGCGACACACCAATCAGTGTCGGCAAATGATTGTTCCAAAAGTGGGTCTCTGACTGTCGGTAACCACTTTCAGGTCTTAAATCATTACCGATTCGGTAATAATTAAGTTTTTGACTATCATATGGCAACCATCGGGGGAACTCATAGTTCGCAAATTGAGGTGAATATCTGTTTAAGTATTTATCGGTACAATAATAAATGTTCAATAAATTTGACGTATATTTACAGTATCATAGATTTAATTTAAATGTATTAATATAAATATAAAATTATATTAAATAAAACAACAAAAACAAACCCATGTTTGGCAAAATCAGTCCAAAGTGTTAGCAAACGTTCCCTTATTTGCATATCTTTGCTGAACGTCCACCTCTGAGAACTCATCTTAAGATCAAATAAGTAGAAGAGTTCGTCTCCGTGACAGACGCCGGTCTCAAACATAGTTTTTGAATTATCAACTAAAATGTTTACTAAACTATTTGCTCCTTTATATGCAAATAAATACATATAAACAGGCGTTTCGGGTACTTTTGAATACAGTTTAAGGGTCTGATCGATACAAGACGTGTAAAGAGCGTCTGAACTCATCTATTAAGTCAAACAATCAATATTTGATTTATTAATCAAAGTGTCAACAAAATGCTTACATTAATAAATCGGTGACTAATATCTGAAATGTTAATCAAATCAACTCTATTGAAGTATTTGAAGAGAACTGTTTGAACAACTGTTCTTTGTTTTGGACCTTTCAATCGAGTCGTCGATTCCAAGAATTGTGGCAAAACTATCTTCTCGAGAGACATCGGATCTGTTCTCAAATTTCGATTGTTTGCCAATACTAGTAGTTATATACAAAAAATTGATTTATAGGTTGATTTATAATTTATTATAGGAGTTATTATAATGTAATCAAATATAATATTATATATATATATATATGACTGACGCGGATAGAAAAAAGCGGTTTCGTCACTATTAAGACCCATAATTAGCGGTACTTTTTGAAAGTTCCCAGAATTTAATAAAATTGTTGGTTCATCGGGAATAAACCTTTTGGTACCCGTCCTCTCAACTACTGGTGCCGAACGATGTGGAAATTCGCCAAAAGTCTGTTTATGTTTAAATACATCAATAATATGGATAAAATAGTAATAATAAAATAAATAACAAGAAAATAATTAAAGTAAAAATAATTAAAATAATTGATTGAGTGCTAACATGCCTTAGCTTTGCTCTGAGCATTCAATAATAGACTGTAATGTGTTTTCCGCAAACAATTGACTAAATTAGTATTACTGGTTACGGGACAGTCAACACTTTTGGCCACTTCTCTGGCAAACATCAACGGAGATCTCTCGAGAGCCCACTGACATAGGGCTGAACCACTTTGTGCTATCGCCCGATGAAATAACCCTTTAATTTGTTATCAAAATTTATATTAAATTCATATTTATCAATGCAAATAAATAATTAATTAAGTTGATAATATCTAAATCAAATTGCTATGTATTATTATAATATAAATTATAATAAATTAAAACTATTTAATAGTAGTATTGGTGCTCCAAAATAATAAATAAATTCAATTACTTAGTGTTTCTCTTGATATAACATGCAATTTTGTATTTGGGTTTTACCTATTTATATGAAATTAGCAATATTTATGATAATTTAATTTTAATATTATCATTATCTATCCATTTAGATGTAGTTAACATATATAAATATTTTATTATTAAAATATAACAATTGATTATAAACCTTGAGTTAATGGTGATATTATGTGGTATATTACAGAAGCGGCACCTAATTGACACATAATAACAAACATCAAACATATTATACAAACATAAATGTGATATTTTGTTGAATACCTGATCCCTGGCCAAAAATGGTTACTAAATTAGGATCTCCATTAAATGAGGCGATATTATCGCGAACCCACTCGAGTACCAGTTTTTGATCAAATAGTCCCCAATTACCTGAAGCCGCCTCGTCTTCAGTACTTAAAAATCCTGTTTTTTTTTGTTCAAATAATGCAAAATCATTCAATTAATTGTATATATCAGACAATATTTACTAAATTTAATGACTGACCTAAAATGCCGACGCGATAGTTAAAAGTGACGACAACTACATCTTTATCCATAAGATATTCTCCGCCATAGAGAGCACTGTCGCCGTTCTCAAAGGATTCGGCTGTTTATATGAGAAAAAGTCGGTTAAATAAAAAATTAATTAAAATAAATGTCCAAACCTTGTATATAAACCATAACCGGAAGCTGTAATGATTGTGAGTTTGGTTTTCGGTTTCTCTAAAATATATTTAAATTTAATAACAATTAATTTAAATACATACTAAATAAACAGTGTTAGTAGTTAATTATAAACGTTATCAATATAATACTATTTTATAAATTATAATTATATTTCTAAATTAATTACTAAGTTTTGAATAAATGTTGATAAAAATGACAGAAAGTTATCAATTACTTACAACAACACCGGGTGTATAGACATTGAGGAATAGACAGTCTTCATCTCCCAATTGACTGCCGCGTGAATCCAGTTGTGGACACATCGGCCGAAAGTTAGTGGTGTCCAACACTCCACTCCATCCGGGATGAGGTACAGGTGCCTAATCGTAATCATAATTATTTCTAGACTTATAACAAACTAGAAAATAAATACTACTTTGAATCTCAAGCGATCATATGGTGGGGTAGCGTAAGGAATGCCTAAAAAAGCAAACCCTTCTCTGTTTTGTGCACTTCTTATTCTTAGTCCTCTTATAATCCCTTGTTTTATAGTGATGTCGACAAAGTAGTTGTCTTGAGTTAACACTATATTCAAGACACACAACACAATCACACAAAACATATTCATTATCACAACATTCATAATACATATTAAATCACATAACTGTTTATTAAAGTATATTCTTCTCAATTATAAAGCATTTTAACATTAATTGTAAAAACGTTTAAAAACAATATATTTAATAATTATGTCAAATATTAAGATATTTTATCCATTTTTAATATACATTTAAAAGACGGGAATAAATATTGATTTATTTGGGAGAAACTCATCAAACAATTATTACTTTTACTTAATTTTATGCAAACACCTCAATAATATATAACACAATCTGATTGTAAATATTAAATTAACTCAATATTAAAGTTTAAACAAAATTACATAAATATGTGTATAAATGAGTTTTAGTGAAAGTATGACAAATCCGGAACCAGTATTTACTTTATAAAAATACTTTTTTATACATAAATCAATTGTTGCTAAATGAACATCAATATAACATAGGTATACATATATTATACTGTATTTTTGTAATAAATAATTTTATCATTAGTAGCAGAATAATAAAAAACTTACAAAAATTATTTTTAAAACTATTTATTTGAATTAACTGAAATTTATTATAAACAAAAAGAAATAGTAAATTGAGTCTCTTTCAGCAAATTTGTCAAAATAAATGTTCAAAAAAATAAACAATTTTGAATTGAATAACTGAAAATATGTAATTTAAAAATAAATAAATACAGTTATAAAATAAATAAAATTTTTGATTAAAACGGATGCGGAGATATGGTTTGACAGAAACCATTGAAAGTAATACTTCCGTAATAAAGGACATACTTTTCTAATAATAATGTGACATATCTTTTATATGTTGTATAATAATAGTCTAAAAAATAATAGTATATATACTGTATATATCGGTATATATACAGGTACTTAACTATAGTCTATACAAGTATGTAGTGTAGTATATGTAATGCTAAAAATATATGTATTATGTATTCAATTTTGTTTGACAATACAAAGATGAAATTGTTTTGATTTACATATGAATTAAAACTAAACTCATTATTTAATATTAATTTTATGTTTTCAATATGATTCATTATAGCAGATATAATGTATGATAATGTATAWATATATTTACTTAATAATACTGCAAATTTTAAACCAAAATTTTAACTTTATTATAAATATATATAATTTGTTAACCTTGTTGGTAGTTGTAGTGGATAATTATAAAATATAAATGATACGGTATATATATATATATATATAAATTGCAATCTTAATTAATTACGGTTTTATAATTAATAAAAAAAATAATCGAATAAATGAATTTGAAAAAAAATATTTCAAAATAATTTCGTGGTTTTGTTTGGTTAGTTATTTTGTTTGATTACTAAATTACATAATTTTTTTATTGTAAACTTTTTTACCGTAAGAAAACAATAACATCTAATAAAAATTTAAAAATACTATAAAAAATAAAATTCAGTAATTTTTTTGGTAATTATTTATTTGAGTTATTTATATAACGTATACTAAATATTGTAAAGATTTAAGTTATTTAATGATAAACACTATTCTTGAAACTCGTCGAAACACTTGATTTATAACAATTATTGCAACAAATATCCTATATATGGATCTAACTATTTATTAGTAAATTGTAAACAACTTTTGTAATACAATTTATACGGTACTAAAGTCACATAAATGCCGGTATTATGCCATAAAATATTCGCTAATTTATTACATTAATTAAGTACATATTATACAGTATTTACTATACTATAATTTTGGTGATATTTTCTTTTTCAAAAAAAACTTGAAAAGTTTTGTTTACTGAAATCTATAATGGCTTTTTGAGTCTGTCTGTGTGTGTGTCTGTAGCAATTATTTTGCGAATTTTGAAATTCTGACTTCATATTCGGTTAGAGGACTACTAATAATGTATTGAAAGTTGCATTAAAATTTTGATATCTCTTCGGGAACATAGAGAAAATGGCGGCCAAAGTAAAAAAAATTAAGAATTTTTTTTAAGTATAGTTTTGAATAAAGCATGAAAAACAAGCATAAAAATATGCATTAAAATTTTGATATCTTTTCGGGAACATAAAGAAAATGGCGGCCAAAGTAAAAAAAATTAAGAATTTTTTTTAAGTATAGTTTTGAATAAAGCATGAAAAACAAGCATAAAAATATGCATTAAAATTTTGATATCTTTTCGGGAACATAAAGAAAATGGCGGCCAAAGTAAAAAAATTTAACGTTTAGAATTGTAAAGAGCATCAAAAATATGATATAATATATCAGCATAATTTTTTTAAAAAAATGGCGGCAAAAGTATAAAAAAATTTTGAAATTTTTTTTAATTATAGATTTGAATAAAGCATCAAAAACAAAAATAAAAAATATGCATTAAAATTTTTATATCTACGGGAAAATAAAGAATAATTATAAGCGGCAAAAGTATAATTATAGATGAATATTTTGTTATACTAAATCATTTGATAACACACATGACTAAAGTTGTGTTTATTTTGTCATATTGAGTCATTTGAGAACATGCATGGCTAAAATTGAGAATATTTTGTCATACTGAATCATTTGATACCATACATGACAATATTTATATTATGTATATTTGACCAGTTTTTAAATTTTTATATGTTACTATATAGCCGCTATAATTATACAAACTAATGGTTTTCAATGCTATTCGAGTTTTTTTTCTGAAAATGCTTTCTAGCATTCTTAACTGGTTTTAAATAGAATTATTAGTTTGAATTAAAATTATTTAATAATTTTATTATAAATACAGTATATATATATAATATATATATATATCGTTTAAAGCGATTAAAGCGAGAAATTTTCCGACATAAAATCATAATTACTATAAAAATGTGAGTTTTTTAAAACAGAACCAAATTTATGTTATTTTATATTTAATTGTAAATTATTTACTTAATTAACTTAATTAAAATACATATAAGAAATTGTTATCAATGACTAAAGGTGTGACTGACACTCAAATTATTATTATTTCTTAAAAAATAGTCATAACTTAAGGACACTTTTATGGCTATTGCAATAAATGCTTGAAACATACGTAAAATTTATTGTTTTTTAATAAATTATTTACTAAACAAACATTTATATTGTTTGTGTTGATAGTTTGAAAATTACATTTCTAATGAATATTATAGATATATTGAAGTAATTTAAATGAATGTTATATTGTAGATAGTATTCAATATACTACAGTATACGGTATATTCAGTATACTATGAATTTATTTTTAGAATAATATAGTATTAAATTATTAGACAAATCTATTGCTGAAATAATGTTATTAATTTAAAGTGCTTTCAGTTTTATGTTTGATTTGATTTAATGTAATGTAATACTAATAATGTACAGTAAAGATTTTCAAATAAGACTCTCTGACGTAATAAAAAGTAATACTAGTAAAAAATTCATACAAATACAACATTACATATATTTATAATAATTGTAGTCCTCATAGTAAAGATATAAAATTGTATTACATGTTGTCATTTATTGTACTAATAGTATGACAATCATCTGATTCATTATAGGTCTTTACGGGTTAAGTGTGTGCATAGCATTAATAGTGTATTCTTATTAGGTCAYTCTTAGACAACGTTATCATATTTATTTCTATTTAACAATAAATATGATAACGTTGTCTAAGARTGACCTAATAAAAATACACTATTAATGCTATGCACACACTTAACCCGTAAAGACCTATAATGAATCAGATGATTGTCATACTATTAGTACAATAAATGACAACATGTAATACAATTTTATATCTATATATTTATATCTCGATATATATGAATGTACGATACATAACATGATTACATGACGTAATAATCGAGAGTCGTTATTCAACCACAGGACTGTATACAATAATACAAGAGTTTGACACTAAATATCATACAGTATTTACTATGATTTTACTTTAGATATAATCTATAAATATATTATTTTTTTAAAAAATATTATAAGTAATATATTGGAAAATATTAATAAATATATCAATTATTTAATGTTTTGCCTTTTATTATTTTCAATGTAATATTATAAATAGAGTTCGATCAACATTCCCAGGGAACATTCAAAGTTCCCTAAAAAATCCCTCAAATTTTCTCGGAAAATATGGAAAATATTTTATTACCTCTCCCTTGATCGTTAGAATTAAATAGTATTAAAACTTAAATATTTTGCAAAAAAATATTTAAATATTAAAAAATAGATTTCAATTCAATAAGTTTAGTAAAACTATTTATCAATACAACCTAAAATAAAGTTTAATATAATATTTGTTTTTCTAACATTATAATAAAATGTGTTGTTTAGAGTTTAATAGGTGGTATCACAAGGAAATAGATTCCCTAGGAATTCCCAGAGAGCAGAAACATAAGGAACTTTTGGTAAATAAAACGAGGGAATCTGATCCAACCCTTATTATAAATAAAAAAAACTTGAAAATTATAAAAGCTTTAGTAATACTATCAATGCTGTATATCCTAGACATATCTGTATAATGTAGACATACTGTACTTAATTCATATATTAATGGTTTGATTACATTTTAATACATAGTTAATTATCCAATCAATATTAATATTATTAAAGTTTTTTAAAAATTGTTTTAATAATAAAGTTAAATACTAATATTAAAGTTAATATTAAAATATTTTATAAATAGTCAATATATAAATAATACTTTAAGCATTATTTAAATAATTCATATATAAAAATGTCATTATGTATTGTATTATAGTTGAATGTAATTTAGTTGTATTTATTGTTTATATATTTTGATTTTTCTTTATTTTTTTAATTATTTATTAATAAATTAATTAATATTGTATTGATATAAACGTACACATTATTAGAGTGTAATTTTGACCTATTAAATTATAATTTTCATCAATAAGTTTTTCAATTTAATACATTTTTATATATTGTAATTTTATTTAATGAAAATTTGTAAAAAAATCCTTAAACATTATTATTAAATTGTTTATTATTGTATTGAATAAATTGGTAAAAAATAGAGACATAACTTTTATAATTTTGTTGACCTGAGGACAAAATTTATTATATATACGATTACAAACCTATTAACTAATTTTATTGAAAGAAAATTTTTATTACAAAATTGAGGACAAAATTAATTTATCTTTAAATTTCATTGACAATAAACATAAAAAATGTAAAAACGATGGACGAAATTGTAAATTTATTATATTCTACTTAATTGTAAAATTAATAATTATTTTATTTATAATTGAATTAAAAATATTATGAAGAATAATAATTAACTAATGCTTAAACAACAATAAATAAATATTTAGCAAAATTTTGGTTATCATAAAAAATCAATTAAATACAAATCATACATAATATTAAAAAATATCTAATCAGACATTAAACCTTTAAATTGTTATCCAATAAAATATGTTTGAAAATAGAGTCGATTTTAGGGGCCGTTCTGTTGAAAGAGTTTTTTGAATTATTATTGAAGTCGTCCTTCACTTACCTGTTGTTAACAAACAAAACAATAATAAGAAATCTAATACTCTCTCTCTCTCTCTCTCTCTCTCTCTCTCTCTCTCTCTCTCTCTCTGTAACTTATTTATATAATTTCAATAAAACTATATATTCTAATATTTGTGTTTTTATAGCAAATTGGTAGAGAAATGGTTAGCAGAGAGTGTTATGCAACTGACTGTTAAAGACAAGGCCTCCCAAACCGGTGTCTCATATAATACATTGAATCAAATGTTATATACTATAGAATTGCAATAATGTATTGAATAGATTGAGAATCCAAATGAACATCATTTGCAATACACTCAACACATTAAATACTTAACGTATAACACATTATAGATTAAAGCTCTGGATTTTCCGCTAATTTCAGGGACATCTCAATACTTGATTGCTTTTAAAAAGACAATCTCTTAAGTCATATAATATGACGTCAAATATATACTTCTTTTGTCGACTCCTTTCTTCCATTGTCTGCAAACATGAGTTTCTCATCAAATCATTTATACGATGACTATAGACAACACTCCATATGCCATATCCACAGCAAATCCCTAAATCACCGCAAATGTTATGTTTATATTAATGTTAAGTTTAATGTTTTAAAATACATAGATTTGCTGTATGTATGTGTTGTGTTGTCTCTTGACTTATAACAGCAATTAAATCAATGGCTTTTTATACTGTATGTCAATAGCTTAACGTTATGCTTGACATGTAATTAGTATTTTTGACTCAAACTACTGATAAGACAACTAATTAGAGAATTGTGTTATATTTATTTATATATAAGAATCGTCTAATTATTTTTGGGTTTTCCAACATTACATCCCTTTCCCGATACATATCGTATTCAAATAAATATCTAATCAATTCATTTTGTCACAGAAAAAACTTTTCTCTTGTATAAAATGCCAATTATGTGTTACATAACACAAAATTATTTAAAAATGTTTTTATTTATTTATTGACAACAAATAAGACATTACTTTTAAATAAAAATATAACTAAAATTAAATTTCATTAAAGTTTAAAACAAAATCATTTTAATTGAATGGTTGTGATAGTGAATAAAAGTTTTTCAACAATTGATAGTTTATAATATTTGTGATAAATGTCTGCACAAAATAGTAATTATTTAATTTCCAATGTATCTGATAATACAATTGAAAGTTTGCCACAAATCAATCATTTGTCATCAAATGTCTCGTCAATCACTAACACATCGATAACCACATCAACCATCAGTAGTCCGAGAGACTCGTATTCCTGTTATATCAATGGACTAACCATTGAGATAACAAACCCCAACAATAGTGATACTAATAGTGATACACTTCAGACCTCCACATCAGTACTTATGTCCGACTCTTCCACTCCTTCTCTCATTTTAACACTGGATTCACCTAATAATGTCACTCAAAGTACTGTTACATCAGCCTCTCCTATACCTCCACTGATTCTCCCAAACCCACAAACAAACGGCTTTCAGCACAATATGACATCGCATGAGATTCACGTGGAAAACATGAGACAAAGTGAGCTTTTTATTAATTTTTGACGTTTTATCCAATCATCAAAATTTAATTATTAGATTTAAATAATTTTTTCTAATTACACCGTCAGATAAACTAAATATTATTGTTTGTTAAATCTTGTAATTGAAATACAGTAATAAGTTTTATTATAGATTAAGTTTATTAATTTAATTTAAATGCATATTTTTGATGTCTGTAACTAATTATGTATTGCTTTTACTAAATAGTTATAAATATTATAAATTTATACTTCATTTATAAAATATAAAAACACGATATTATTATAATTAAAGATAACAGATCTCATCTGAAGATTTTAGAGCAGCCAACGAATCGCATTAGATATCGATATAGAAGTGAAAAGGGCTCTCACGGGGGACTAACCGGAGAAAATAGTTCACAAAATAAGAAAACATATCCAACTGTTAAGGTAACTGAGCTGAACATATATTGACAAACAATAATAATTTACAGTTTAATTGCTTCAAAAGATAGAAAACTATCACTCGTCAGCTCAGGTATATATTAGGGCCAGTCTATACACTAATGAGGACAGACCAAAGAATCACGTACATAAGCTCATGGGCCGACATTGCAATGATGAGGGACATTGCATTGTTCCCGTTTCAGACAATATGATCGCTACGTAAGTCTATAAGTTAGAAAAATATTGAAAATAATAATACAAATAACCATTGAATAGATTTCAGAATTTAGGCGTTTTGTTTGTCGGCAAAAAAGAAGTGCCGGATATTATCTTCAGACGAAAATTAGACGAAACCAATACAATCAACAACTCTTACATCAATTCAATTCATTTATCGGGTTTGTCTTAATTAAAGACATTTTATTACTATAAATAAAACAAAATTTTTATTTATTAAAAGATGATATTTTATTTATTGATTGATTTTAATTTATGAATAGATATCGATAAACAAAGATTACGTGAAGAATCAGAAAAGGAAGCAAAAGATATGAATTTAAATTCAGTGAAAATATGTTTTGAAGCCTTTGTTTACGAAAATGACATGAGTTATGCCATTTGCAATCCTGTCTTTTCCCGTCCCGTTGCCAATCAAAGTAAATTATTTTATGATAATAATAGTAATTATTATTATTTCTTAAATCATTAATTTTTTTTAAAATAATATTTAATTAAAAATTGTTAACAGAATCACCAGATTCTGGTGAATTGAAAATTGTAAGAATGGATAAGCATTGGGGATCCGCCACAGGTCTGACATTTATATTATAATTGCATTTTATATTATGATATTGCATATCATATATATATATAGATATTATATAGTATTTATATCCAGTATAATAATAATACTACATATGAAAAGAAATAATATAAAAATATGATTATATTTTAATTTTAGAATAATAATTGAATAATTCCACGAAATATCTTATGATTCAAACATCAAATTATAGAATAAAAATTTGTTGAAATTTTTTTAATACACAATAAAAACAAGTTTTAAATTATAGGTTTAACATAGGATTAGTTATTTGACTTGAATTTACAAATTATTATATAATGATTTATATTTCATAATAAATTTCATTTCATTTAAATAGATATTTACTTATAAAAAATATGTTGCTATACAAAATTGACATATATTAAGATATATGATTTACTTTAATGAATACATTTGTCAAATATGATTAAATAATTATTTGAAACTTTACATTCAGTTTATTTGCTAATATAACAAAATAAATTTTAAACATTTTACATAATATTTTTATTAATCATTAAAAAAATATAATTATCAATAATTCTGTAATAATATATTAGGTGATGAAGAGGTGTTTTTGTTGTGCGAAAAAGTCAACAAAAAAGAGATTAAAATACGATTTTTTGAGACCGATAGCGAAGGCAATCAGCTTTGGGAGAGTTTTGCTAATTTGTGAGACATTTTGCAAAATCATATTACGCTGACATTGAATGCTTGATATTAATAATATAATTATTTATATTTTCTATGTTTAGCTCTGAGGCTGACGTTCACCATCAGGTTATTTATGCGATACAAACCATTTAAAACAGTAATTATAAATAAATATATATATATCTGTCTGAAATCAGGTGGCAATCGTGTTTCGGACGCCTCCCTATAGAGACCCAAATATAGAGACATCAGTACAGGTATACTTGCAGTTATACCGAGCCCGTGATGGTGAGTACAGTGAGCCCCGACCCTTCACCTATAAACCAAAAGATACCGAAGACAATGAAAGCATCGATAGGAAGCGTCGCAAAATCAGTCACTTTAACCCCACTGTCCCTCATATCAGCAATGATAGCGGCAATACTACATTTGTAAGCCATTCATATCCTAATTTACATACAGATCCTAACAATGATTCACGAGATAATAACAATAACAATATTGGATATTATGGTATTTACTTTTTTATGATCAGTAATATTCATAATAAATGGATTATCAATTTTTTTAGGGCACTCCAACTGTTTGGATGATTATCCAAAGCGTAAAACCCATTTGCAAAATAAGTCAAATAACATAAATCGTAATATCAATCAAAACCTTAAAAAAGGGACATTCATTGAAAATTCAAACGTTGTTTTACTCTTTTCATAAAATAAATGATAAGTTTATAACTCGGGTTAGTTTAGACTATTATATTAAAATAATTAAAATCATAAAAGTAATTATCATTTATAACATATATATATATATATTATTAGAGATTGGTTTACTGAAAATATAATTATCTAAACCGACCTCTATTTTATAAGTATTATCTAAATATATAATTAGTATTATAATTGTTGCTCAAAATTTTTATATTTAATCATTTGATTTAAAATTTTTATGACCAATTGTTTGATTTTCAATATTTTATATTTATTAAATATTATATTTTTGATAGATTTTATATTATATAAAATTAAATAAATAATTAATAAAATATATAATAAAATTAATTTTAATAATTAACAATATCATTACACATAATAAATATATTGATTTTTAAATTAAATTTTATTATAATAATAACAATATTGTTTATCATAAAATTAATATCATTTTAAATTTCAGTCAAATATAAATTAATGTTTATCAAGTGATAAAATTTAAATATTTATACGTAAATGTTATTTGTTCAACAATTTTGATAATATATGAAATATAATTTTAATTAATTATACAATAATTTACTCTATAATGATATGACAAACATCATTGAAAAATAAATATTTCTTCAAATATATATATATATATATATATACCTGTATATAAATATGTGCTCAATTTTTAGATATTAACATACTGTATATACGAATATAGTTATTATTTTTTATTATATAATAATTTATACACAGAGACATTATAATTTAAAAAGAGTTATCAAAATTATATATTAAACAAAAATATGTAATTCTTAATACATTATGACTGTATTAATTGTATGCACAACTAATTTCTAACATTTGATAATTTTGGATAAAGCTTTTCAAATTATATTATATATAAATATATTTGTATGTACTGTATATGCGTTTATAATAAATCAAATGAATATACAATAAGATTTATTATATAATTTAATCAACAATAAAACAATTATTACATTCTATATTAAGGTAATGTAATATATGATTAATTAATTGTAATTAAGTAGATGTATTGGCTGAAAATGATATAATTATAGTAAATATATATTTAATAAAAAGTAAATTAATATATTATACTAAAGTTCAATATTTACGCACCTTTTATACAGATATAGCATTAGATATTAATTTTAAAGATTACTTTTAATCGCAAACATAACTTTTAAATAAAAAGTTGAGTTCATTTAAATAAACTCAATTACATTAACTCTATTTTAGAGAACTTCATAATTAATATTGATATTTAAGTTTTGATTAATTATATAGTTTGTTACTAAAATTTTGTTACTTAAATAAAATCACATAAATATATAGCCGCCAACATATAATATTTACACTTACGGTAATAATTTATTAACATTTAAAAAGTTGTTATATAATTAAATATTTTTTTTGTCACAAAAACTGTTAAAAATCTTCAATATATCCATAATTAACATTAAATAATATGAGCAAAATATTTGTTAAATTCATAACATAATTAACTGGGATTCGTGTTTAGAGACCAAGGCTTCCAATAAACGAAGTTTTCCTTTAGTGTGCTGTAAATCAATTTAATAATATATTTTTAATTTTAGATAAAAAATAATTAATAAAAAGTAAACCAATTAATAAAAAGTAAACCAATTAATAAGTATATTACTAATACCAACAATAAAAAATCAATTGTCATTACCGTAATTCTAATACTAATATTATAGACTAAAATAAACAATTTGCGCTTTAAATAAACAAAAATATAAAAAACTATACAATTTGTCAATTGAATAGAAAGTTTATGCAAATAAAATGTGTAAAAATCAATGAATAGAGTGATGAGACAAACCTTATAATTTGAATAAACTGATCCCATATTGACTTTATCTTCTTTTTCCACTTTACGACCCATTATTCTCATGAAATCATTTTCGAAATCTCTTAAAACAGTTCTTAGATTTCTTTTTTGAAGACGAGTTTCGTTCAATAAGTGATTCAACTCTGATAACGACATTTCATGTAAATTACTGAATTGAATAGTTTTTAACTCTTTGTTTGACTTAGAATTGGTGATCATTTCATCAGTGATGGCACCAAACAATGTATTATCACTACTATTAGTGATTTGTATTGAAGCCATGGCCTCACTCTTTGAATGAGATGGAGAAGTGAAGTCCATAGCAATGTGTTCTAATATGGGCTGTAGTTCTGCCGACTCTTTGCTTCCAACTTTTGGAGGCATTGTCTTCGCTACCATTCTCTTCACAATTCGATATCTAATTATTTAATTAATAATTAATTAAATGTTTCCCACATTTATTAGACATTATACATACCGATCATAAAGAGGTCGCACTATTTCACGCTCAGCCTTAGTGGTTGGTCGTCCGTAAAGTGCTTCAAAACGGAGTAATGCCTTTTGAAGTGTTAGTTTTTCTTCAATGATCTCTTCAGATGTCATCTCTTCAAGAATTTCCGGTCGATTCGCTGCTTTGCGTTTATCTTCAATAGTTCTTTCAATTTCTTTGATTGTTTCGCTTATATTTATCAAAGATTTACTACAATTAAATTCTTTTGTTTCATTTGGTAAAAGATTTTGTTTATCAATTGATTCCATATATAAGTCATCTTTAAATTCTTTCAAGTCTTTCTTCAGTCGATTCATTTCGAGTACAAGAGCTCGACCCTCAGGACAACTCATTTTCTGTTCGAGTGACGGACGAAATCCCTTTTCTTTTTCAAATTCGTATTCAAAATGCTTTAATTTTTTCTTAACATTTTGTATTTTCTTAGTTATAGATCTAATACTTGTATTGATTAACTCATTTTGTTTGATGTCACGTATTGGTGCCCTTATCTTCATTTGTTCCACAGGTGGTGACGGAGGTATAGTTGGATCCAAATGAACGCTTCGATTACTTAAATAATTTCTGTAAGCACTGGGAGAAAGTGGTGCCTCATATGAAACGGCTTTCTTCAGAAATTGTGAGACAGAAGTCGATGGATTTGGTGCCAAATTATCACTTGTAATCGCACTTTCGCTCTCATGTGAAGATCGCGGCCAACTGTATCTGTGCTCAGATAAAATTGGTTCAGAAATATCAATATTTTGAAACACTGTTTTGAAATCCAGATGAGGAATCTTGTCTTTGTTGTCAATTTCATCTTTATTACTGTAATTATTATTATTATTTATATTATTATTGTTTTGATTATCAATTGGCGTTATCTCAACCAAAGTACGACAGTTTCTGTCATCATTTGTTTGTGATATTTGGCACGTCTTGAATATAACATTACTTTCATTGTCATTATTTTCACTGCAATTCTCTTTATATGAGTCCATATTGTCAATCAAATCACTGCACAAATTAACACTTTGACAACTAATGTTTGGTTGTTTTTGATTGCACTGGTCATCAAACTGGTCACTGGTATCAGAAATACAATGAAGTTGGCTATCATAGGCCGAACACCGTTCATCAGTGTCTAACTCTCGGCGTTTGGCTTCAGGTGGGTGTGGACTCGAAGTGTTGCGAAAATTCAAATTTTCAAACTTATTGACGGCTGTAATAAACTCAGTGTTCAACAAGTTTTCATCAGAACTACACCGACGAATGTCTTTGTCTTTTGAGTCAATTAGTGTCTCTTCAGAGTTTGACCGAAACGGTGGCGAATTTGAAAGACATTTACTTTCTTTTCGTTTTCGACTTTCTTGTGATGTGTTATGCAATAAAAGTGATGGTATTTCAATAGACAATTGGTTTTCATCTGAATCAGCACTAATTGGATTGGGATCTGGAATTTCAACGGTTAATGGAGACATTGCGAAGACAGTAGTGAATATAGAATCGGTTAAATCGATATTAAATATGTTAGTAAAGTGATCGATAAAAAGTGTCACGACTTCATTGGCCATTGATTGCTCGCGGAGTCCTTTATAGGTATCGACATTCACTTTAAACATATTGGGGGCGAAAACAATACCTAAAAATATTTATTCAATCAATTAATATTTACAAATTCATGTCTTCCACTAATTATTAAATTAAACCTAAGTTTGCTGAAGTCATTCGGTTTTCTTTTTGAAGAGCTATTCGGTTCAAAAAAGCCGACAAATACTTTAATGTATAATAGTTTTCGTCGGCGAGTCTCGAAACCAAAGCTCGCAAATTGTGAATACATTTTCTTTCGTCCGTTTCGTAATCTATTGATTCAAAGACAACTAATTAAATATAAAACTTTACCAAAAATATACCATACTTTTAATGGCCTCCAAAAATTGAGACGTGTCGGGAATGAGAGGTTGTGGCAGTTCTCGCAAAAACTGTTTCAAAAGAGCCGAAGCGGATGCAATGTCTCCTTCAGACTCGAGGTTGGCGTCACCCGTATTGTCAAATGAATGTTTCAATTTATCAATCATTTTTGCGTTACCACTAATCCTAAAGAGGCCCTCCTGTAGAAAACCTCCCGAGTCTTCAATAAAATGACACAAACGGGTGACAACAAAAGGAATAAAGGGTTCTTCGCTTGTGTTGGAATGTGATAACACATCGAGAGAAACGCCAAAAACTTTTGACTCGCATTGAGAGCTTTGAGTAATGGTTTTATGGTAATTGGGTTTTCGTCTCAATAGCGGAGATGACAAAAGTTTTCGCATTCGGTCGATACGACTTTCGGATACACAAACATCTAAACTCTGGTCAAAAAAATTGGTTTTTATTAATGAGTAATTGAATTCAATATACTTTATGACAAATTTGTAAAAAAAACCTTTGAATTGTTTGCGTGAAGAGTTTCGTCGGATCCGCTTTGCTCTGAATGCGTGACATCAACCGATGCAGAAGTTCTTCTCATACGTGACTTCATAATTCAATGGTCTTTGTAATCATTCATTTTTGGTTAATCATTATATACCAAACATTTCTTTAAGTATACATTCAAATACTTACAATCAAATGGTAGTTCACATAGTAGTTAATAAATTGATAACTATTTATTATATCTAATATTTATTTGATGATTGTTGCAAATATAATGAGATAATTTTTCTTCAAGTAAATCAATAATTAGTTAACTAAATAATTAAGTTGTTATTTAATGGCAAAACATTGAGATCTCTGTCGACAAACATAACTGAATTCAGGGCTGTTTTAGTGATCGACACGAGACAATCCTCAGCGATAACATTCGTGTCTTAAAAAACCGTTTGTCTTCTAAGGTATGCCCTCTTAACGTCCCTCTAAATCACTACCAAATTGTCGGATTACAAGCTATACCTCATTCAGACAAAAACAATGGCACTTTCGGTGATAAAATTAACTATAAATAAAAAAATTATTTAATGTGATAATCCTTAATATTAAAAACAAACAAAAATAGTATATTTTAATAAATGTATTTATGTATATAATTTTATTTATAAAAGTCAAAAATCAATTTTACACCAAAAAATATAACACTAAAATAATTTTTTTTAAAATAAAATAAAAACACATTTAAAAAGAATATGATTACTAAAATGTATTTACTTTCAACACAACATTTCAAATGCATTCAAATTATTGTTTTTAGTTATTCTTTCTAAACTTGTTTTTCATGTCAAATATTTTTCATTTTCAAGGATACATTTAAATCATAAAAAACTATTCACTTATAATAAAAAACAGTGAAAATAGAAGACTTATAAAAAATAGTAATTTGTAACTAAATGTTATAAATTGTTTTTGTTGAGTAGGTTTCAAATTTAATATTAATAAATATCAAAAATAACAATTTAAATGGTCAAACTAATGTCAAATATAAAACATTTTACAATTTTTATATAGAGTAATACAATATATATTTTTGGATACAATACAGTATAAGTATAGGATTACACAAATTTCATTGTCTCCGAGTGGTTGTAAGTTATAATTATATACCGTTTATATATAGTATATTAATAAAGAAAATTATGCAATCATTTGAATTTCATCAAAAAAGTAGAGATTATAGAGAACCTTATGGATTGTTATTTGGCAGTGAAGTCAATATTAAAATAGCTATTATTGGAGACATTTATATAGAGTCATATATAAGACATTATCAATATAACACTTTAAGATAATAGTTCTGTTTGTATGCGTGCACATTTCATCAACAACCATATTTTAATTCAAATCTAAAAATGTATTGTTATATTTTCAATTATTATTTAAAGTAATGTTATTTCTATTGTAAATTTTAAATGATTATTGAGCTCAGGTAGGTTTTAGGGATAGGTAGGCAGATGCTGTGTAATAACATATTGCTATATTCTATAAGTCACACGGCACCGGGAGGTTAGCTACCTGTGCTAAATTTTTGTAAAATTTCCTCAAATGCAAAAATTTCCAATTTGTGTGAAAATTTTCAATTTTTATTGAAAGCAATGTTATTTCTATGGGAAATTTTAAATGTTTATTTAGCACTGGTAGGTTTTAAGGACAGGTAGGCAGGTGTTGTGTAATTACACTTTGCTATATTGTGTGAGTCTTAGGGCACCGGGAGGTAAGCTACCTGTGCTAAGTTTTCGTAAAATTTTCTCAAATGCAAAAATTTTCAATTTGTTTTAAAATTTTGAATTTTTATTGAAAGCAATGTTATTTCTATAGGAAATTTTAAATGTTTATTTAGCACTGGTAGGTTTTAAGGACAGGTAGGCAGGTGTTGTGTAATTACACTTTGCTATATTGTGTGAGTTTTAGGGCACCGGGAGGTAAGCTACCTGTGCTAAATTTTTGTAAAATTTTCTCAAATGCAAAAACGATTAAATTTTCAATTTTTATTAAAATTATTTAAATTTATATAAAAACTAAAAATTCTCAAAAGTTTAGACCAAATAATGTCTAATGGTTCAGTAGTTTTGTTACATTAGGTTATGTAGTAGTTGTATAAACAAATTAAGTCTCATTCAAACTACTTATGATAATATTTTAAAATAAAAAGAATTGCACGTCTATTAGTAAAAGAATAAGACGTTGCGTTCTAGTTCACATTAAAATATTTCTATATTTATTCATATTTTAAGTCATTTAAATTATTGACAGCAAATGTATGTTTTGCCAAATAATTAATATTTTTAAGTTAAAATATATAAATTTTTCCTAAAAATAAAACTACTCACTATAGTATAGTATAATAGTATATTTAATATGATAATGTCAAAAATGTGCTGAAAAATCATAATATCCGCTATAAATGAATGTCTTAATAGTAATAAATTTCAAAGTCATTGTAATTATAGTAATCAACATTTGTTTATATGAACAACAAATTTAAACAATTAAATAATATCTACTATTTGTCACAAAAAATAATGTAAAAACAGATGACTAAAAACATCTGTTTTCATAAATATATTAAAAATTTAATAAAATAATAATACAATACTTTCTTCATATTTAATAAAATAATTGTAATAAATTATTTAAATTATTAATTAACATTATATTATACTTAATGTACTTTACTTTATTGTATTTATTTAACAAAATTATAGCAAATAATATTAAATTACTTAATGCAATAATATAAACATTATACTGTATTATCTTTGTTATACTAAATTATTATCACTAATATATAAATTTTAATATAAAAATATCAATATTTTAATAGCTATTTATTAAAGTGATATATTGCACAAAGATTATTGAATATAAATAAAAAATTATAATAATAACAATATTATTAAAATAAGGGGACAATCGTATCGATTAATCGATTAATTCATTATATTATCAACAATTGTCTTAAAAATTATCAAAGATGGCCAACATTTTTGCCATTTAATGATATCAATAGTTTAAGTATCATATAATAAAATAATCAAAATATTATAATAATATTAAAAATAAAATTAATTTAATGTAATTTAAAATTTTTATAAATTTTATTTTAAATATTATTATAATATTTAAATTATTAGAATAACTTATATTTTATTTAATGATATATAAAAATGTATTACATTTGGAGTCAATTGTCAAACATATCTCATATTATAGCAAACATTACATCATTTAAATGCAATCATCACTAAAATAATGTTTTTATTATTATTACTTAAAGACTATAATAATGATAATTGAATGAATCCTATGATAAATACAATTAATAAATTATAATAATTATAAGTATTGTATTATCAATGAAATCAACACCATTTGCATCAATTGTGATTATATATAGTGTAATAAAACAATAAACAAATGTCATATACAGTAGTAGTGTTAGTAGTAGTAGTAGTAGTCCTACCTGTTTGATGGCCAGAGATGGATGAGATGAAGACAAAAACAATGAGATAATCGATTAGATGGTGACTATTGTGTGACAAATATTGTGAGCAAATGTTTGGACACAACAGTAGAGTACATGTCATTGAATGCAATGCTTGTGTTATGTTATGTAACACACAGTTAGTTATCAATAGCTGTTTTGAGTGACTCTTGTTTGCAACCAATCAATGCTCCGATCAATGCATTGAACGTCACTTCAAGTGTGGCACTAATGCATGCATTCTATCAAAACAGTACTACAGTTACAGTATTACAGTATAGACTGTTGTTGTGTTGTTCATCAAAATGCATACAAACAACACTACAGCGCATGACATCAACACAAATAAACAACGCATAGTATCATCAAAAACATGGCTAACATTAACACCATTTAGAGACACACTTCACAGCAATACTCAGGTGTTTTGATAGGAAAAACAAGTTTGACATTACTTTTTAGTCATTAATACTGTACAGTATATCATATTATTAGTACATTATTAGTACATTATGTATGTATTATTAGTACTGTATTACACTTTATGATAACATTGATTTAAAATTAACCTAGTTTGATTTTATTAATCTAATTAAAGTAATTATATTTTTCATTATTACAAATTAATTAATTAAATATTTATTAGAATGAATTAAACAATATTATTTTATTATAAATTAAATAAATAATTATTGAAAGTTATAAAACTGCTATAAAAATTATATGTCGTTAAATAACTAATGTGTAAATATATCTTATATATTAAATAAAAGTGTTTTTAATCATTTCACATATTATTTGTTTACTAATTAACTTTTTCTAAAAAGTCATATAGTTTTTCATAAAAAATTGTATACTTTAATTAATTTTTAATAAAAATATTTTTGTTTATTGTTCAAGATATTGTTATTGATAATGTAATAACTTATAATGTTGCTATACTTGTTAGAATTATACTAAAGATGCTAGATCAAATTTTAATTTTATAATATAAATAATTTTGTTTTATTTAAATACTTTAATAATTTTTAACAATTTGTATTTTAACTAGATTTGAATCCTACATCCAAATACAATTGAAATATTAATATAATTAATATTTTTAATAAAATTGTGATGGTCTAAACATCACTTAAGCGGTTCCAGTGTCACCAAAACAATACAAAGTTACTTTGTAATATATAACTATAGTATACTGTATATATTTATGTATCTCTCTATTATAAGTTAAAATATATTTTAACTAAACAGTTATTTAGTTATATTTAATTATAATTCATATTATTATCAATTCTGTATTTACTTATTATTTCTTAATATTATGTTTATTTGTTTAAATTGATTCATGCTTTATTATTAATTATGTAAATTAGTTAAATTAATTATTATTATGTTATACTAGCTGTTATTATTAATACATGTAAATGATTAACTATCTCATTATAAATTATCAATAAATTGAAGCTCAGGCTAGCAATAGCTAGTCTAGGAGGGGCTTCCAGGCTCTCATAAACATTGRCTACTTATTAATAGTAAACCTTAGGTGTAACGAAGTTTGGCCATAATTCTGTGAACGCAGACAAGCCATTCCTAGTTCCGATACAAGGACTTCCGATACTAAATACCAATATATAAGCGCAGTTACCAATGACCAGAGCCCCGAATGGGCCATTCATATACACTGTGACGTGATTAATAACCCTTCCAAATATACCGTTACTCTTAAATAGTCTTCTATTAGCAACCYATTCWYAAATTACGTCACAGTTCCCTATCAAACATACCCCGCATTGCATATTGCCAGGCATAGGGACTCAAATGTCTATGTTTACTTAATAGATTAAAATATTTTTAAATAACTAACAACACACAAAAAATTTTGTGTACAAGTTTACATATACATATAAACTATTTGAGTGTTTTTGTTTTTAAAATTTATATGAATCTAATTACTGATTAAAAATAAGTAAAAAAGTTAAAATAACGTTAAAACTCRTTTAAAATAACATTATTTTAATTAAAATATTAAACTAAAAAATTAAAAATTACCTATTTGTTGAAAAGAGTAATCATATTACAATTTAAATAGAAGTTTAAGATAGTTTAAGAAGTTAGTATAACAATAAATACTTATATATTATAAAGTTTTATTAATAATTTTTAAAATTTTAAATAAAAAATTTTTWAAAAATTCAATTTTATAATTAATATAACTAAATTTTTAACAAAAATTGAGCTAAATAATTAGTATTCAGTGAGTATTTGTATAAAAATAACATTAAAAAATAAAAATATATACCTATAAACTATAATCATTAAGTATTATTTAATAAATTAATTATTTTAAAAGTTAAAAATTTTTAATTTTTTAAATCAATTTACTAATATTTTAAATTCAATAACTGAATTACAATCTGATGAATAAACTATTTTTGAACATATAAAATTAATCAAAAATTTGCAAAATAAATTGAAATCAGATGCTTTAATAAAGTTTTTATTTTTTGTGTGTTGTTTTAAAAATGCAACGTTATTTATCCTTTCGTTCCAATACCAACTGGCGTCTCACTATGTCTGCACTACTTTACGGGCTATTGACGGGTAAACACTCATATATGCCCGTCACAAAATATTAACTTTATTATTTTTAAAAATATTCTATACTTATTGGAGGACCTAAATATAGTTTTAGTTTCAAAATCTAATAACACATATCTAATAATGTTTAAATGTTAATAAAAAAGGTGATGATAAGTTTTATAGAAACATTTTTATAATATAAATTAAATTTTATTAAAAATATACTTTAAGATAGAATCAGGATTTTTATAAAATAAAATGCTTTTATTGATTAGAAATTTTCATTAAAAAATATCAAAATTTTAAGTAACACTACAAATAATTTTATTGTTTTATAATTGGTTTGTTTCTATAGAAACTCTATAAAAGCAAAACAAAATTTATTKATAACTCAGTGATAAACAAATTGATATTTAGTATGCAATTAATAAATTCATTAAAATTGTATTGAATTTTATAAGTATTTCGTTAAAAAAATCAATTAAAACAAAATTTATAAAATGCTATCAAATTTATGACAAAAAGATCAATGAGTTGTTCCCTTTGGAGTCAAAACACTGACAGATCTTCCAGTTCTTTGTCGTCAACGGAAGTAATCATTTATATAAAGATTTTWAAAAAATTGTTATTAAATAAAAATAATTTAAAATAATAATATTTTTTAGGATTGTGATAAAGAATGTGAAAATTATATTAAATCTTTTTTAMAAACAATTGACAAAATTGTTTTCTATGGCGAAGATATTCCTCATGGATTTAGTCAAGATTTAGCTCAAGAATGTCTTATTTGGAGGAATAAGTTTGCGACAAAAGTTGATAAGTATTTATATTCACTAATATTATTGATATATATTATCTCATTTTTGACAATATATTCAATTTTCATTATAAATTCAATAATGCTTTTATGATTTTTTTTAAAGAATTGATGTTAATTTGAAAAAGCCGTCAAAATTGAAGTCATTATCGACTTCTGTTAAAGTAAATGAAAAAAATGATAATTTATTTTTTAAAGAAATAAAATTCAATTTTTATTTTATTTTTTAAATTGAATTTTTAAGGTCAATGTTAGTCCCGACACACAATCCAGAAGTATGTCAGAGAAATTAGTTATCAAACAAAAGCCAAAACTAGAATCACTTCTCAAAAGTAATGATCAGAAAGCAGTAAAACTTAATTTATTGGACAAACATTTCTCGAGAAATCAAACAAATCAAAGACCATTAATTCTTCCACCGATTCAAAGCAATCAACAAATGAAAAAATATGAAAAACAAACTAATTTTGTTGTTTCCATACATAACTGTCCCAATGAACCAAATGTGCCAATTGTTTCTAAAAGTAAGATTTAAAAACACATTATTGACTTCAATTTATTGGTCATTCATTTAGTAACTTAAAAAAATCTTAGTGTTACTAATTTTAAATACTGAATTAATTTATTATATAACAAGTATATATATACTATTTTTAAAAATATTTTAAAATTATTAATAAAAAAATGTTGAAATATTTAAATTTGTTTTTAAGATTCTAATAAAATATATTAATTATATGACAAATTGTTTAATAAAATGAATAATTAAAAAACAATAACAAATGTATATTTCTTACAGTTTTTCTAAAACCCGTTCCCGTGATATCCATAGAAAAACTGTTGTGCCGTCGATCACGTAATCAAGACATTAATGTTTCAAATTCTTCCGTAAATAACATTTTTCCCGATATTTATAATAATAATAATAATATGCAAAAAWTAAAAAGTTTACTTATTAAACAATAAATTAAGTTTTGTTCAGATATTAACATGTTTTGTAGTAATAAAATTTTAAATCTTTAAACCTTTAAAATTTTAGATTTTGTTTTTTTGTGTTTTTTTATAATATTCATCATTTTATTATTTATCTTATATATATACAGTATATAAAATCATAATATAATATTATTTGTATATAAAAAACTATATCTAAAATAAAATTATGTCAAAATCTACTAAATTTTTAACATCATTTTAAATTAGTTTACAAATTGTGACACAAATAATATATGAAATTGAAAAATTTTAATTAAGACAGAGAAAGTTGAATCTCTATTAAGATCCTGTTCCTTAACTGTTGATGTAATTTTAAAAATGAAATATAAATTATTATTTTTATAAATAAATATATATTTAAAAATTAATTTAGTGAGAAATCTAGTATAAGTTTGCCACAAATACATACATTAATAAAATAGATAAGTTTAAATACTTATAAACACTTAGAGCTCTAATTATAAGTTAAAATCTATTGACATAATCTTATTATGTCTTTAGGCAATATTTGACTTTTCAAAAAAGCATATATTGTATATATACTGTATATAATCTATAAACAAATGTGTGATATTATCATATAGTACTGTAAATATGTAAAATTACAAGTTTTCAAATCTTTAATATGAGGTGACCTTCATTTTTAAATGTCTTTAAATCCTTATTAATAAGTTGTTATTAATTATAAATCTTTTGGTACAATAATTCAATCATTATATTTGACGACACGACTCACTTGCAATCATTCGCTTATTATTATTATAAGTTTCCATTGATTTTTAACTTTTATTTAGCAACAGTTTATAGTAAAGTCTAAAAATTTATTGTTAATTATATATATATATATATATATATATATATATATATTTAATTTGTTGTATATATTGGTTTAATATAAAGCAATGATTAAAAAATGGTATGTACTGTTGTATTTTAAATGATAATTATATCAATATAATGTATGTATTTTTTAATTTAATATTCAGAATTTATATATAGTGATAATTATTAATTTAATATATATAAAAACATATGTAAATTGTGGTCCCGTCAGCAACAGTAGGACCCGAACCATTGTGTTTCCAACTAATAGTGATAATAATAATAATAATTTTGACAACAGAAGAAGAGACATTTTTGTTGACAATAGGAATCAAAAAACTGATTCAAATTCTAATTTAAGGGTATTTTTCTAATTTATTTTCGTTAAAAATATAGAAAAATAATATATAAAAAATAATTTTTCCATTTCTATAGGATTCTGAAATGAAATTAATTGAGAGGTCAAAGGTATTGCTGCCAAATCTCGATTCAAAGGGAAGGCCTACTTGTTTAACAAATCCTGACGACACGTATTGTGAAATTGTGCCAAATTATCCAAAGTATTTGTTATATTATTTAAATATTTACTAATAATATTAAATTATTATCTTTATTTTAGTAAAAATTTTAGTTATTTTTGTAATATTTAAATTTTTATATTAATAAGATAAAAAGTTAATCTAATATCTCTATGAATATATTATATTTTATAATTAGTCTTTTTAGTACATTTAATGAATTTTAATGAAACATTATTTTTATTTTTAATATTATTTGTTTATTTTATATTTTATTATGAAAATATTTTTAATTAATTTAGATTTATTAGCACATAAGTTAAATATAGTCAAAATACATTATGTCATATATTTACTGGAAAATAGTTACATGTTTTATTGATTAAATATAATTTATTAATAAATTAAAAATATTTCCTTATAAAACATTGATAATAATTTGTAAGACAGACCTTGAATAGTAAAAACTAAAATATATAATTGATATTAATTAATATTACTTTATAAATTTTTATTGTTTATTAAAAAGATATAATTAATATTTATAAAAAATTACATTATTTTTAAAAATTTAGTAAAACACTTAAACAGGAAATTGAATTTTCTCCGATTGAATTTCTGGAAATATTTGGCAATAAAATAGACGGAAGAAAATCTTATATCGACGACGACTTAAGTGAAGTACGAGTTTGTCGACGGATACCAAAAGTAATTTATCCACAAATGGCCAAAAATCAGGCCAACCAATGGATTTATGTGGTCAATGAAGTCGAGTACATACAGGCAGTTGTGGCCGAAATTTGCGAGTTTGTTGTTTTTCAAATATTTTTTAAATTTAAAACTAATTTTTAAATATACTATAAATAATTATATTTATATTTTTTTAGAAGCGATGGTAAATCATGTGCTTATTTAGATCAAAATTTGCCGCCCGGTATGTACTCCCGGTGTCGACAAAAGTATTCATATAAGCGATTACTAGCATTACATCCGACAGAGAAGAGGACCTATTCAGACAAATTCAAGTTTCCTTCGTGTTGTGCCTGTTATGTCAAAACCAATGACCTCCTCAGCAGATCTATTAAAACTAGTCGAAGAAAAAGACTATAATTTTTATATTTATTTTATTGATTCGCTCTAATTAATAAATTATATATATTTTTTATATTTAATCAATAATAAAATAATTTATAATTATCATTTCTATAGATTTTATTTGATGTATTTCTACAATAAATATATGCTGTAAATAATTTTTAATATTCAATACAAAAACTTTGGTATAAGTTAAAATTTAACATAACATTTAATTATCATATAATTAATTCTACTAAAGTATTTTTGATTAAAAACTGATTCAGTTTTTTTTTAAATATTTATATTTATAAAATATACTGTATATTACGGTAATTTTTAAATAATAAAATACATGTATTTAAAAATTAACATATAAGTAAATTTTTAAAAATTATTTTATATGCACAATAAACTTTGCACCAAATAATTACACATAAAAAATAAATAAATATCAAAAACTTCCTAAATTTTCAAACTATAATACATTCATTATTTTCTATACAATATTTGTCACTATTTTATCATTTTATTGAAGTGTTTAGCTTAATTTAATGGTGACAGTTATTTAAAGAAAATATTGATTGATATAATAATAAACTTTTCAAAGATAAATATGATATCATTGCTAATGACAACACTTATCAATATTTGAAAGTTGCAAATATGGTATAATTTTATCAAAGCAAATGTAATGAATATTATTAGAAAATTTTAGTAAATTGTGAACATTTGTATAAAAATATGACTAAATATTTTGTTTAAAATGTATTTATCTGGAAATTTGTGCAATAATTTAAATGAAAGTAATTGTCTTGTTTGGAGCAATAATCAGGTGCTTTATATTTTATACATCATATAAATTTTAATTTTATATTAAATTTTTAATTGTTTTTAATACAGTTGTCATACATAGGACAAGATGTAAAACAAATCCCATCACTAATCAGTAAGATTTACGGACCAAATGCTGTAAAATTGGATTTAAGTTTCAATATAATCGATACAATAGACGGAATTGAAGACTTCACTTGTCTTCGGGAACTAATACTTGACAATAATCTTCTCAATGATAATATTAAGTTTTCATTTAATCCATTACTTCATACACTTTCATTAAACAAAAATAAGGTATTTAGTGCACTATTTTTGTACTTTTATTTAATTATTATAATAAATTTCTTTTTACAAATTATGTTACAATCAGATTAAATATCATTTTATAAGTCTAAACTATAATTAAAGTTTACTTTATATTTAAAACAGTTTAAAATAATTATCTAAACAACGTTGTTATTTAACAATCAATTAAATTAATAATTAAATAATTAACTATTACAAGAAATTAAAAAATAATAAGATATTAATGATTTAAAAACATAATTTTAAATTTTTATAATACATTTTATTAACTAACTAAACATTGTATAATATCTATAATAGTAATTAATGTTTAATTAAAATAAATTAAATGATTATATAATTTTAGATAACAGATCTCGAAAGTCTATTAAATGAATTGTCAAATAAATGTCCAAATTTGACATTTTTGAGTTTATTGGGTAACAATGCCTGTCCGGACCAGTTGTCCAATTTAGACAAAGATGAAGAAGATTATGCCAGATATCGACGATATGTTATCTATAGATTGCCTTATTTAAAGTTTTTGGATTCATCTAAAGTGTCAAACATTGAGAGAAAAGATGCCAATGAAAGAGGAAAATATTTAAAGACAATCCGTCCAATCATTGATGAGGTTTACTATTCAAATACATTACAATATTTAAACTAATTTGTCATTTCATTCATTTACTATAAATCATATTTTAATAATAATTTTTTCATTAATCTATTTTTATAAATGAATGAAATAATTTACAAATAGTATGCAATTATTTAACATATTAATTTCAATCATGATCAATTTCTTAATACATTTTTAGCTATAAAACGAGTGCCAAACTATTTTGTAATATAGATTGATTGTATGATATACCGCTATATAATTTATTATTTGGTATTTTTTATCTAAATGTAATAAAAACTAAACGTCAATAACTTATGACAAATAACTTTTAATTGATGTGTTTTTGTTTAAATTAATATAATTATAGTAAATGTCGTGTTATTTATAGTTTGACGACAATTGCGAGAGACGTGTTGTGCGACAAATATTTACTCCTCTGCCGACTGAAGATAATTCAAGCGGAAGTCATAGCGGTTAGCAAATCCATCGTTAAAATCTCTGTAATAATATTTTATTGTAATATAAAGTATATTTTGTATTATTTTTATGTGACATACAGGTGCTTACGGACGACTTAAGCACAGGTATACAGGAAAACACTCTGAAGGCAATCGATTCATCAGAAATCATGAATTGTGATTCACATCAATAATAATAATAATATTATTTTTTTTACACAAATTATATTTTATATTAACTTTAAAATATTAAATCCAATATTATGATTATTGAATGCGCTAATTATAATATCGTATAAATTAATACAGTAATATACTTATAAATTTATGATAAAGTGAATACAAAATTAATTTTTTAAAACCTAATTAATATTTCATAATTTTATGTTATAACTTTGTGATTAGTGAGTATTAAAATTTTTAATAATTATTAAAATCATATAAATGACATTTAAGCAGTCATAAAATTAATTTCATATTTAAATATTTATTAGATAAATGCCTAATGGATTAAATCAATATATATATATGTTTTATACTTTTATTTAATAAAACTAATACTTAGAAGTTAAATTAATTGCCATAATTTTATAAATTAAAAATCATCAGTATCATAATATAAGTATTATAATTTTAATTTTTTAAAGCAATTAATTTTATTTTTGGGATTTATATGATTATGGTAATATGATTATATATTTGTCATATATAAATCAGGTTCAAGCAATCGGGTATGGGGTATACCCCCTAAGATCGAAATTTTTGGAATTTTACCCCCAGATTTTTTTACCAAATTGAAAAAATTGTGGCTTAAAAATTTATGAAAAAAATTCAAGTAAAAATTAATAAAATAGTTAAAATCACGTAAAAATTGATCTAAATATAAAAGTATTTTAATTTAATTATTAAACTAATAAATAAAAAATTGATTATTTGTTGAAACTCCTTGATTTGAAAAAAATGTCGTTTAAAAAAATGCTATAAAAGTTGACACCTCACCCATTACCCCTCCCCCAGATTTTTGTCAATTGATCCCCTCCAGTACCAAACACTGATATAAAACTACCGTAACAATGTTTGCCTATTTTATACTGTATCATAATGTACAGTATATGATACAAAAACATTTACGCTAACTTTATTTACTGTTAGTTAGTAAAAAAATTATATTATAAGTATTTATGTCTAAATAAATAAATGTAACCATCTATTAAAATAACACAATTGTTTAATACTTTATCAACTTTTTCACATAATAATACTGTACTAATCCCAAATACATTAATATTTAATTAAAATTTATTGTATATTATATATACTGAATATTAAAATAAATTTATATCCATTTGTAATTGTTTATAGTATAAACTTTATACTGTATTTCATATAATCTTTGCTATAAACTTAATAATAGTATAGAATCTAAAATATAAATATTATTTTTTATTTTTTAAAATTAATTAAAACCCATTTGAATCAATCAATCTCTAACAATGTTATAAAATAAATAGTGGTTCTTATACTAAATAATTAGTATAATATTAAGTATCGTTAAATATAATTATTCAATTAATTTCGGTCATTAATTATACAAATCTCAACTAATGGTCATATAATGTTTAAACTAAATTAAACATTTATAACAATAAATTAGTTTCTATTTTTTATTTAATTTTTATAAAAAAAATCTTTTGAAAGTATCAACAAATTACTAAAAATAATAACACTAATGCATTTACAGTATTACTGATATTATTATTATTTAGTTTTATTTATTACTAAAAATGTCATGAATTAGATAAAAATATATATTTATTTGTTGCCTTCACTCATAACTCTAAATATACTGTACTTTAGGGTATTAGTAGACTATTAATGATTATATAAATTTATACTTTCAGTATATCACGACCTATTGATGAATAATGTTATACAAAATTATTGTATTATTGTATAACTAATAACTGAGACAACAATTCAGATTCTCTTGTCTAGCAATTCATGTCATAAACAGAGTCTCATTAAAAATGTTTTCAATTTCTTAGAATTGTCTGAATAATGATATCATATATATATATATATAGTACAGTATATTGTGTTGTGTTGGGTGAGTGAGTGAGTGAGTGAGTGAGTGAATTGCAATTATTAGTTAAATATACAAAATTATAGTTTGTTTCAAATTGTTTTCAATATTTTGTCAAATTGCTATATTTGCAAAAAAATTAAATCAACAAAATATAATAATAATAATAATAATAATAATAATAATAATAATAATAATAATAATAATAATAATAATAATAATAATAATAMTAATAATAATTTTCCTGAAATAAGTATTACATATATTTAGTTTGTTTGCTATTTTATTAAAAATAATTAGTTTCTATAAAAGTTTTTGATGCCGTTATTAAAATAGATAAATAAATTTAGAGATAAATAAAGCAAAATTATGATGAAATTTATAATTAATTTTGGTACGAAATGAATTACTAATACATTTGATTATATAATAGTTACACAATTATTGAGTAAATACTACATAAAAGTATATAAAATAGTATTTGTTGTATGAATTGATCATTTAGAGGATATACACTTTAGATCCAAGTTTACATTATTATTATTACATTAGAACTTATATTAAACACATTAAAATAAGGATTATAATTATGTATATCAGGATTAAATCATATAAATAAATTATAAAACTATAATTAAATGTATATTTTTCACGAACACCTGAAATTGGTGTAATTTTTAGCATATTTTATGAATGGATTTATTTTGTAATACTAAATCATTCGATACCATACATGACTAAAATTGAGTTTATAAAAGTAAATTATAATTTAATATTTAATTTGGATAAGGATTTGGTATGGAAATGGTTTCTAGCATTCTCAACTGGTTTAAATATTAAATTTATATTTTTGTAAAATAAATTATTTTGAAGATAATCAATAATTGAAATAATCATAATATTAAATATTAAATTATAATTTACTTTTATCATATATAAATAAATATTTATCTAAAAATTAAACATTATTATATTTATTTTAATTACGACTATTTGCTATAAAATTTTAATTAATAACAATACACTAATTATAACTATTTTCAATAATTCTAATCTTACAGTAATAGTATAAATAGTATTTTAAGGATTATAAAAATGACAAAAATAAACTAATAATAAGTAGAGAACTCAGTTAAATGCAATATATTATCATTTAATTCAATTCATTTAAAGAGTTACTGTAAATATCATCATTTATGTGTTTTTCATACATCAACTCTATATAATTTATATAATATAAATATAAAAATTAGTTAATTCATAATATTGTAAAATTAAATAATTGATCTGATAGTCATTTAAGATATATTTGTTTTTAATATTTGTTATCTATTTAGTAACCCTTTAATTTATTAATTATCTATTTTAATTCATAGATTTTAAATTTTACAAATAATATTTAAAATAATTTTTAAAAATATTTAAATTTATTTTCTAAGATCATTAATTTGATGTTTATAGTAATAATATAAAATTTAATATAACTAAAATCTGTGATGTAATTGAATGCACTTTTTAGTAAAATAGTGATCAATATTATGGATATACAGTAAGTGGTCTGACGTGAGATTATGTCATTGTATAATAAATTACATTTTGTAGAGTATATTGTATTAGACTATGTGTTGTGCAGGTGTTAGGCATAGTATAAGGATTGAGGAAATGGGTTTAAATGACGATTTGCTTTGATTTCAATTGATTGTCAATTTTAATTTATTTTAATAAATCAGTCCTCAGGTTTCACCGTTGAAATAATGTTACGTCAATTATAAGTCAAAAGTTTTACCATGGTTACTAGTGATGATACCAGTGCTTGCTTTTGTGCAGCACTTGTAACACATCTAACAGTTCCCAAAAACAAATTTTTTTTATTTATTTCAGTACTTAATGTATGACATAATTATAATTAAAATATTGCGGTAAACATTATCAAAAATAATTTACAAAATATACAATCAAATGTTCGTTTTTAAATCATACAATAAAAGATTATTTTGAAAATATCACAAATATTGCATAAATATTATTTCACTCTATTAAATAGCTAAATAATTATAGTAAACATATAGAGTAAAATAATTATAATAAATATTAAATAAATTTTACATTTTCTATAAAGACTGAAAATGTTTAAAAATTAAACATTAATTTAGTTTAAAAACTAATTATTTTTCTAAATTTAAAAAATATTAACATTCATTAAATTATTATTTTTTTTAATAATAAATTTATTATATTTTTTTAGTAAATCTTTTTATCATTATTTTTACTTTACAGAATAAATTCGTATAAATATATTTATTTATATAAAACATGAAAAATGCATTTTTAATACTGGATTTACTTAGTATTATATTAGTCTCAATATTTGCTATTGTGATAACTCATTGCTATATTACATGTGTAAAGTATATGAAAAGTGACGTATTTTTAAAGCATTTTCAAAAATGTGTTAAAACGGTAATCACTGTTTGAGCAAACTCTCAAAAATATGCTTTTATATGATAACCTCAGAGAGATTGTAATACATTGCAAGAGATTGACTGAAAGCGAAAACTGTTGTTCACAGGAATCGCATCCCTCTCCACATCTCAACATCACATTTACTACACATTTCAATATTATTATTATTTCACATGATTTTATTATTATATATGCTTTGAGTTTGTATTCATACAAGTTGTTTGCTTTTTTCAAGCATTAGATGAGATTTGGCTTAAAATTCAATGATTTTTTTTTTATAAATAAGTCTTTTGAAATAAGTGTTTATAAACTTATGTCATATGTATATGCTATCAATGAAAATCTCAATTTTAGTCAATTGAATGCTTGTTTAGATACATACACTTTTAATTTATAAGAGCATTAGTAAATGCAAAATATCCATTCAAATGAATAATAATCATAACAATCAATCATTATTTTGTGATTAATTTGTATCATATTTATAGAGTCCAATGTGCAATGTTTGTCATTTTATATAACCATTTATTTATCAGTGATTTTGTTTGTATCAGATTATGTCACATTGCACTCATTAATATTTATCAAATCATGTAATTTACTGTAAAAATTATAATAATAATTAAAATACAACAGTAGTGTCAAATAACGTTTGAATTTTTTTGGGTAAAAATGGTTTTTTAACACATTTTTATGTGTTAGTAAATCCTCAGTAAATTAATAATTGTTATCATCAATAAAATCTAATTTCGTCAAAACCAGGTTTGTTATCAATTTATGTATTATAAATGCTTCACATATTATTTGATATTAGTTTTATTAATCTGTTTTTAGTTATATTATATGAAATATTTAATTATTATAGTTAAATCTGTTTTAAAAATTTTATAGCATTATATAAAAATATTAATAATTTAAAAAAAATAAAACAAATTGAGATATTAGCATAAAATGGATATTTCTTATCAATGATTTGATTAATAAGTGTTAAATTCTTAAACATATCATATTTATGATTAATATAAATTATATATTCATAGATCTATGAATATATAATTATATATAAATGTTATAAAGTAGTAAATTATAGGGAATATTGATTGCAAAAGTGGTCAGTCCTATACTATTGAATAGCTTATATAATTTATTAATGAAATATATTCATAAAGTATAGTATATGATTAATGTTTTATATGATTAATGTTTTATATGATTAATATTTTATAAGATTACATAAATGATATAAAGTTGTTAATTAATAGTAATGTTAAATGCAATGACCAATGTTTGCTTATTGTGTTAAGACTCGCCTAAATTGATGCCATTTGTTGGTAAAATGATTGCATCCAATAAAATGTTTGGTAAAAGTCAACAAATGATATTTTAGTTAATTATTGGCTTACAATCCATACTATTGTTGACTATTTGCGTTCAAAGCTCTCGTTTATACAGTTTTTGAAATGCATTGACTGATTGACGTCAGTCTATAATAAGCTTATTTATCATTGCATTACAGGACAGGTATTATAAGAGTTGGCAAAACACATACTCATTGACTGCCTCTCATCTGTTGCATTGCATGTGGTTTACAACCTGTCAGCTCTCAAACAGCACTTCATATCACAACTAATATACAATTGGTGTCATCGATGTGCTAGTCGTACAGTCAATACATACATACAGTCGATGCCTAACTTATACATTCAAATCATATTTTGATTAATATATCTATAACTGACTTAATTCATCAACTGGTCATTGGATTAACCTATTTGGCAGTACATCCACAATGAAAAGTATGTATATTTCATAAACTATTTATTTATTATATTATTATTAGTATTATTATAACCTTTCCTATGACACCAAAAAAGTATATAATAAAAGTATTTGTGGCAAACATATAGCCACTGATTGTCGGTGTTATAGCAATCAGATGGCAGTAAACGCATTGGTAAGCCTTGTAATGATAGACTCGACACGAAATGATGGCTTATTTGTTGTTAATTTGCCAATACATGTATGCAATGTATATGTGCACACTGTGTGCTACCCGTCCTCTCACTCTCTCTCCTCTCAAAACTCTGTCAAACAGTAAGACAGTGCTATACTACACGTTTAGCACTAGTGTGTAATATGTACTGTATGTGTATTACATAGCATTTTGATGTTAGTGTCTAACACTATGTTTAGCCGAGAGTTGAGAGTTTGCAAGAGTTGATGCAAAAGACAACTATTTATTTGGCAAATATTGTCCAAAACTTTAGTGTTGTTGTAGTTATAGTCGTGAAAACACAGTTTTCATAACAAAAACAGTCATTTTTTAGATTTGTGATTAAGTTTTTTACATAACAACTTTTTTTCACTTTTTTCAATGATTACAAACTTATAAGTCAATGATAATTATTTTGAAGTGCATTGCAATAGACTCAGTAAAACAGTGCTCCAGTTATTGAAAGTCTCGACAAAATACAGTATGAGTTCAAACATCATATGAGTTATGCCTTTGATTAGTATGCAAAACAAGTTTACACATCATTGACAATATAATTACAAAGCGATTGTCTATTATTTAGCTATAAGTGCTGGCAATGTCTGTCTGCCTGTGCTGTACCACTAATCTCAGTGAATGTACTGTACATTGCCATCGAAGGCCACGAAACACGACTTTCCCTTGAATTACACAGAATTTACTTTTCATATCATATTTATATTGAATTTGTATTAAAATCTTAATTGATGTCAAGTTATGCCAACACTTGATTTTATTGATTTTATTGAATTAACTTTTATAGCTATTGATTGATTTACATTATTCATTAAAAGCATTTAATTTAGTGTTAAAATTATGAATTATATAACAAATTGATGTAATGAGTGATGTGTGTCATAGGTATGCGTCAGTTGCCCGTCCATTAAAGGTGTGTTTCATATTAATTATATAATATCTTATTTGATAAATTATGTTATATTTATTATCTTTAAATGCTTTAAAATTGACATTTGCTTATAAACTAAAGTTTTGTAATCATATAAACTTTATAATGCATTTGTATTGAAAACTAATATTTTTGATAATAATTGTCATTCTTTAGAAATTATATCAAATAAGATATGACTTACAATAAGTCATGAGTATTATTAAAAATATATGAAATATATAATTGTTTTATTAGTTAAGGAAAAGTCATATTTTATTATAGCAGTATTAATGTTATATTATTTTATTATTAGTTATGTTGTCATTGGTATGTAATGTATAGCAAATGTTTGGCAAAATGTTGATTTAAAATGATTGAAATTGTTGTAAAAATGATTACAACTTCTCGTTAAGTTAGGTACTGATATGATAGTCAATTGAATGACATACCAATAAATAGTTGAATATGCAATATATTGGTGCCATTATTGCCATTATTTTACATATCATTCATTTTACTAAATGATCTGTTAATTTAGTTACAATAGCTCTGAGAAATAGGAGTGACGTGTGTTTGTAGGGTAGAGGATAGGGTGAGGCCTACCAGTAACTGGAGGTTCCTATTAAGGGAATGCCTAACCTTGGATTGCATTTACATTGACTTTATTTATAGCTTGTATTACTTGAATTCAAGGACTTAAGTAAATGATGATCGCGTTTGACATCATATCGACTTTCAATATATTCAACACTTGTTTTTTATATCATAGTGTAAATGACAATAACGATAATTATTATTTAGAATTTATATCTCAAGTTTGCATTTTATTTGTTATTTAAATTAAATAACTTTATATAATTTGTTTTATATTTATAATATATTAAATATTAATATTAAATGTTAGAAAACAGGTTTTAAGCTCCAGACAAAATAATATGCAATGTTTCCCATAATATGTATAGATTTTCCTGAAATGTCTAAAAATCTAATACTAAATCCAAAATCTACAAAAAGTTAATTAAAAAATATATTCAATCAATGAATCATTAATTTTTTGCATATTTTGTTGATTAATGTCATGAAATGCTATATACTGTACTACAGTATTGCTGAAAACTGACATTTTTATTATTACGTAATGGTATTGATATCATACAGTATACTGTATTTGCTATATTAACTATTTGTATTGTAAATAGTTTGCAATACATTTATATTTGTTATCTACACTATTTACTATAAAATAACATCTACTGTATTTATTTTACTATGAAGTTACAATATTATAAAATTATATTAATATAATATAAAGAAAATGTTATAAGATTATATAAATATAAGTTTTTATTAATATTTTATAATTTATAGTATAAAACAAATAGTAAATTATTAAACCTTATATAATATTTCTATAATATATAAATTTAGTATACAGTGTATACACACAAGTCCTCGACAATTGACTGCAACTGACAGATAAATATCATACTATTTATTAATTACTAAAACATTGCAAATATTGAGACAAATTATAGGGAAAAGCCTTTTAATCTATTCATTAAATTAATCAAACAATACAATCACTATATTCTTAATTAACTCTCAGTTTATAAATTGATTTAAGTTTTGGCAAACATTTTCCAATGTTTTGATTTACAGCTTTAATGTTTTGATTACAAAAGTGGTATCTTTTAATTTACTAAATCTATGACTTAATTTAAAAAATAATTTTGTCATCAATTAATAAAATGATTTTTAATCAAAAGTATTAGAAATTTTATTACTTTATAATATATTTTTTAACAACTTTTAAATAATACTTACAGTTTGAGGTTTTTTGATACTAAATTATAGTTTAAAAATAATAATATTTATAATATTAGAATTTCTAAATGTTTAAATTAATAATTGACAAATTTAAATTAAACATATTTGTAATGTTTTAAATGATATTATTTTTATACTCTCGATATTATTATGATAATAAACATTTATTCACCTCATTAAACAATTTATGTTTTTAAAAGATTTAATCTTTGTTTTTCAATACTTTAATGTCAGTATCAAAATACTGTTTAACTTATCATAAATATAGGTTTTGATTTATACTTGAAATAAAAACGATATTTTTATATAAACCAAACAAAAACATTGATATTCTCTAATCATTATCGATTGAAATGTTTTTGTTTATAATTTACTGAATCAAATGCAAAACAGTGTACTGTAGTTATGTTTGTCTATTGGATGGCAAACCTTATACTTTAGACCCTAACCTCCAACTCTTAGTGTTATTCAAACAATAAGATAAGCAATTTATAGCCTAAAGTACTGTAAATACTATACATTTCTGACTACTATTTCTACAATAATAAAATCAATCGATTGACTTCACTCTCTCATCACATCCAAAGCTAACATCAAATATTTGACAAATATATATATATAAACATAAGAGATCTATAGATATATTATCGATAGTTCACAATAAAATATCACATTTTTATAAACTTTACAAAAATATAGATAATATAGATATTTCAAAAAATTTATATCATTAAGATTTTAAAGTATTTTTGAAAAATTTTATTTTCTATAAATATTAAAACCTATTGAAAATGTATTATTTTTTATATCCTTTTAGATATAACTTTTAAAATGTTATCAAACTATTTCAATTTTATTRATATTTTTATATAATCAATCAAATAAAAGTGTATTAGTAATACAGTATTACATAAATTTGTCACAAAAAAAGATTCAGTACTATTGTAGAGTTAAATTTGTAATACATTCAAACAATATTGTTTACAGACAGTAATGATCATAATATTGGACACATTGAATACAAGTTGGAAAGTTGTTTTATTTTTACCAAAAGTGCCAAACATTTGACGACATCATACCATTCAATGATTAATCTTTAAGCCATTTGTAACTAATAGTTGTTTTGTTGGACTTAAATATAGATTGAGAAGCAGATGTCCACACACACACATATATATATATATATACTGATATAATACATTATATGCACACATCATATAAAAAATAGTATAAATTTATGATATATATTATGATACGATATATGATAAAATAATTGCTAAAAACGTTTAATTGTAGGCCAAAACTATTTAAAGAGTATACAAATAGTTATGACGATATTAGTAGATATATATATATATATATCTGATATATATGACTATATTGAATTAAATGTTATTATTAAATAAATAAAATGTTTATTATTTGTATGAAATAATAAGCGTGTAATGAGAAGCTGTTTTGTTGAATATAATATTATTATAAATTTAGATATATTGTTGACAATCCATATATAATTAGGTGAATGTATGCATCTGTAACTCCCAAATAATCGATTAATATCGCAATTTTGTAGACTATTTAAATAATTACTTTTTATTTATAGATTTCAGTCTATTTTTATGATAAAGTTAATAGTTTAAAAAAGAGATGAATTTTTCATTAATAAAATGCATTAAGATATTTATGTATATATACATATTAATATATATCAATTGATTTTGTAAATAATATTTGGGGGTAAATCTATATTATTGTAATTTGATATTATATTGTGATAAGTGATATAAGAGACATGATTTTTTGTGATTCACGTTTGAACCACTAATTCAGATCATAATTGATTATATTTATTATCTTTATTTCAATTATAATATATTATATAATTTAAAATACTATTTACTAAATGTTATATTAGAATTATTTTCATTTGATACAATAATTTGATGATAAAATAATTTAATTTTTATTAGAATATATATATATTTCGTATATTTAATATACAATAGAATTGTCATATTGTAAATATAGTGTTATAACTTGTATTATAT